GAGTGGCGTAAGGCGACTCAAATCGGTTTTATCACTTCTCTGGATGTGTCCAGTGAAGAAATGATGTTTTGCTGTTTTAAATGGATTTATTGTTAAACTCCTTTAATTTAATTGTAATTTTTCATATATTTTTTCACTGTTTTTAATTAAAGTTTCCTTTCTTTTCTTTTTTTTTCCCCTTAAAGATACAATAACAGATTCTAGGCTGCTGCTATTGGCTACAAGCTTAAACAGCAATACTGTTTAAAAGGATCCATTATGCTTTTTTTCTAGAGTAGCTTTGCATGATTGCCTGTCTGGAACAAGCCAGTCTATCTCCTCAATAAATCCATTTTCCAAATGGAATACCTTCACAAACAGAAAGTTTGAGGGGAGCTTATAAACTATCTGAAATCAAACATTTGGAGTGAATCCTGAGGTTTTGGCTTTAAAGGATTATTTGTACATAAACTGACGTCATTACTGGAAACACTTTTCATGTGTAATGTGAGCATCCACCACAGGAAGAGTAATCTTGCACCAAATACGCCAAATCTGTCAGGAGTTCAGCAACCAACATGCACATCTCAGACCTCTGAAGGTTCTTATCTATATCAGATATTGTGATCATGTTGCCTAACAACCACCCACAACAGCTAAAGCTGCCACAGGTTTCATATTTATGCACCTTTAACACCATATAAAGGCACTTTATCGTTCTTATTTTATGACAAAAAACATCACCTGTATATCCATATATATCCTCTCTGAATATAATGATATATGATCTATTATTATACCATCATGTTGCCCGGTGTTTGTTAGTTTGTTGCCTGGGAGTCACCTATCCACAACAATACGTAATTTACTGACTATAAAATTTAATGTGTGATAAATAACTGTGCTAAAGGTGCTAATTTGTCAATCTTACAAAATAATAATTTACCAAAGCATCTCATTTTGGTTTTTCCCTCAGGTGCATGTTATTCACCCACAAAAGTAAAGCTTGAAGCATTAAAATATGCAACAATGAGAAAAGTTAATTTATGACATCAATATGGGGGTATATTGGATAGAACCTATTCTTCACCATCAGACCACAAAAACTAAAGAAAGGCCTAACAGGTCCAAATGAAGAAACAGGTGTGGGGACATTCCTGTTCCCTTTTCTTGTTTTGAACGTGTGCAACTACCAAAAAGTTGCAAACTTGGTGCATTTTACAGAAACTGAGGCAAAAAGCAGTTGAGGCGTTGTTTTTTTACATTTGTCCTCTAAAAGGCTTCTGTTAAACTTGATCACTTTATTTATGCTCAAGGTGCAATTTGACTAGTTTTCCTGTTGGAACCATGATTTTTTTTCTTTTAAATGTATGTGTTAAATTTCAAACCAGCAAATAAATTAATACATAAATAAATCAGTGTTATGTCAACTGTACCTTGCAGGAGAGGATGTTGCCAAAGGCAGAGAAGGTGTCGTACAGGGCTTTGTTGTCAATGGACTTGTCGAGGTTCTTGATAAAAACATTGCCCACACCCGACTTCCTGAGGGAGGGATCTCTTTGGGACCACATGATTCTGATTGGCTTCCCTTTCACCACGTCAAAATTCATGGTGTCCAGGGCTCTTTCAGCTGCCGGAGGAAGAGCAGAGAGGTCACAGGAAAGGTCACTGGTGGTTATTTACATGTCAGAAAACATATCAGTCACCTTTATGTGTCATGCTTCGGTCTGTTATCTGCTGATACCATGCAACAATAATAATGCAGCCATTTTTAATGCATGCACTATAATAATAAAAGAGAGAAACCGCTTAAATGCGTTAAAACAGGCCGCTAACATGTTCAAAGGGGTGAAGGTACTGCAGCAGACAATAAGGCTGATGAGATTTCTGCAAGCAGCTGGTAAAAGTGTGGGGGGCAGCTGCAGTGGGCTAGCTTGGAGCACATGTCTCCCTGTTCTGATTAACCACATGCTGCTGAGCCACATGCCACTTAGCAATGCAGCAGGCCTTCATTTAAACACTATCAGAATATCAGCTCATGTGGTAGAGATGAGCAGTAATATGTTTGCATTGACCTTTATTCTGTGATCTGTAGGCCCAGGCGAACAAATGTACACCCCCTCACACATCATGTGGGCATATGCCAAACATCCTTTTGTTCACACACACACACACACACACACACACACACACACACACACACACACACACACACACACACACACACACACACACACACACGACTTTCCAGCTGAAAGTGTCTGGTAAACAAAGCGGAGCTGCCTTGCGTCTGCTGGCATCAGCAGTTTGGTTTGCAATTGTACTTCACAACCTGTGCGCTCAGGGAAGGTGTGTGGTCACCGTCAAAAACAAACAAAAAACAAAAAAAAAACAAAACGGGGACTTAGGGAAGGTTCAGAGTTGGGAACTTTATTCAAAAAAGGCCAAAGTGACCTCTGTTGACCTCATATATCAGATGTGTCGTTTAGAAGAGAAAATGGAGCCACTAACGGTCTTGAATTACCCATTATTGTTAACCACTTTTTATTTAAGCATTACGGAGCAGGCACGTTTTGGGCTGCACAGGGGAAAGCTATATTTAGAGAGGGGTCCTGAGAGGTATGTGCTGGCATGGAGTGCGAGTAGGGCATTCTCTACCACTGATGGGGAAGAGGCATGTTTAAAAAGAATGCTCAGAAGAGCGACACCCAGGTTTGTGTTTGTTTACAGATACAACTGTGACATTAAGAAATGCAGCAGGGAACACAGTGAAGCATGAAGACCGCTCTGTTTCATATGAAACGCTCTTTACTGACAACTGCTTTGTTATAGTTTTGCATTAGTAGCTGTATTATTCAGGCACAAAGCTACTGCCCCACAGACACGTGCTCAGGACTCCATATAAATGCCCAGCAGCCAACACCCCCTCCCCCCTGGTGTCTACACCTCTTGTAACAAATGGTGTCTTCTAACTTTTGGCTCTTCTCACGTTTGTAACGGAACGATATCCTGAAAGCGAGCCACTCGTAACCTCTCATTTACTTTGGCTTTTGGTAACCAACTCGAGCGCAGATAAGCTGTGACAGGTGTTTTTTGTTGATAGGACAAACAGTGTCAGCGCACCCCCAAAGAGAACCACAACACCTGCTACCTTTGCTCAGTGCTTTGATACTCCCGCATTGTAACTGGAAACTGTTTTATCACAAAAGGTACTTAACAGCACTGCTGATACGGTTACATATACATTCACTTTTGTGTATCATGACATATTAACAGCTTTAAGTGGTGAGGATATAACAGATAACCCAAAAGTGTGTGTGAACTAATCCCAGCTATTAAAGCTGGGATTCAATTCAAATAGAAACAGGATCAGGTTTTTCCATTTGCAGTGAATATACAGACAAGCAGCAGCACAAACAAGCAACAAGCAGTGCAGTGGGCTCAGCTGTGCTTGTCTCTTTCATGCTTTCAGTGAACATGCCAGCAGAGGGCAATGGGAGTTAGTTTCACTCAACTCATTGGCCCTTTAAATAGGCACAGAAATGGGTCATTTTGGTTTTTAAAAAGGTGTAGGAAAAGACTCCATTTACCCAAATCTAGGCCTGTGATTTATGGGGATGGTTTGTTGATTTTGGCCAACTTTTAAGGACAGTTTAAATTCTGCATGTTCTGGGGGCTTGAATTACATCAGAGACACACACAGGCTGCTATATTACCAACCATACACGAGAACTGGGACGTGCTTATGTAGGTCAAATAACTGATACAGTCTAAAGAACTGCTATGAACATTTCACACTGCAAAATTAACCACATTTATTTGCGTTTAATTCAGGCTCTGTACACAGTTTCAATGGCAGGCTGGAAATGTCAACATGTTCACGCCTTGTGGAGGCAACGTGCTCACACAGCACAGCTATCCCATCCCTGCTTACCGTCAGCCGGCTGTGAGAAGTTCACATAAGCGTATCCCAGGGACCGCCGGGTGATCATGTCTCGGCAGACCCGAATGGAGAGCACCGGTCCGGCTGGGCTGAATTTCTCGTACAGCATAGCCTCCGTGATGTCGGGGTGCAGGTCGCCAACATAGAGAGAAGCCATCGGATAACTCCCCGTCGCTGTGTTCATATCGCTGATTTCAGAGGATGAACGCAAGGCTTCGTTTTAAAAAACGCCAGAAAAATGTCGGTATGGTCTCTAATCCGGATCCAAACTGCGCTTTGGTTTAAAGACACGCTGCACAAACAGCTGATCGGGCGTTTTGAAAATGCCAAACCTGGAAAAAGCAGCGCGATAAAGACTGAAGTGTTTCCTTTAAAAAAGACAACTTCGAGTTAAGCCGGAGGCCTGATGTTTGTTTTTTTTAAAATAATATTTTGCTATTTTTTTTAAAGGTTTCTATTTCTTTAAGTAGATCTGCACTTTTTAAGATTTTGTGGATTTTATATTTTTTATATTATTTTTATTTTAAGTTTTTCAGGAACAGTGAGTTGGACACTCACGGTTGTTTTGTGGCCGGGGAAAGAGACTGCGTGGGGGCAAGCATGGGCACTTTATAGAGAGTGACGGTGCGGAGGAAATAGTGGCCCGGGTCAAACTTGGGGTGGAAAAAACACTGAGCATGCGGCGTAAAAGGGAGAGCGCACATGGTACTGTCCCAACTACAGCGCCCAGCTCCCTACAGCGACATCTGGGTGGGAATAAAAGCCTTTCACTGTAGCCAGGATGGGGCGTTTCATAAACAGGCTAATAATGTGATGCACTATTGAGCACCGGTGAAGAAATGTTGTGAATGAGTATGACTGCCTTATTTAGTCGACAGTGTCATTAAAAAATAAATAAATAATAAAAAAAATTAAAAAAAATGCAGCTTGTATTTCAGACTTTTGCTGCTATGATGCCAGGTTTCTCTTGGAAATGAGATTTTTACCTGGATAAATAAAGGACTAATCCAACTTTTATTTAAAAAACAAAACAAAAAACAAAAAACAAAACAAAAAACGCAAGAGTCATGAGACCAGATAAGTGCACATCAGTTTTATTTATCTCAAGTACAAGTTTAAAGTCTTTTCATGCCGTGGTTATTCTGCATTCTTCATCCTCCTGAGGAAAAACAAAAACCAAATTAAATCAGCCATCTTCACATGCATTAAACAGTCTGCCAGCTAACTGCAAACAAGTCATTTACCTCAACAGATTCAAGAAAGTTGAGTGCAGCCCCTTTAGTTTCAACTGTTTTCTTTCCACTGGACTTGTCTTGTGTACCACTGCCTCTTCCTCATAACTCAGTGTCTGCGACCCATCAGCAGCTTTGGAAAAGGAGAGTTTGGAGCGCGTTATTGGTGGGATTTCAACTGTTCCTTCAGGCATCATAGCACCATCTGTCAGCATCTGGGGCAGGTCATCATGGTTTGGGTCCTTAATCTCATTCTGCAGCCATTTTTCACTTTGGGATTCCTCTACAGCAGCTGCGTTGTCCAATTCTGCTGAATTTGGCCGTTCAACCAGCATAAGGTACTTTACACTAATCTCAGCTGGCAAAGAAAAGTTAACCGGTTCCTCTTTGCTGTCAAAGTTGCCAGATCTTCCAGACCGGCTTTTTCTTTTGAAGTCCTCTGGAACAGCTGGGTGTGGAGGACTCTTCCATCCGTTAACCATAGTTGGCAAATTCATAGTTGACGGAGAAACACTACTGAAACTTTGACCTTTGATCTCATTGGTCGGATTCGGATGAGGTTCTTGATTTGTGATTGAAGAATGCAGTTTGGTAATGTCATTTGAGTCAGACTGAGGAGGCACCTGTTCAGGTAGCCAGAGCGTCAGCCTGGTGGCAGGGTCCTGACTTACAGCCACTACACCCTCTGGGCCAGCATTGAACTTGCTTCTTGGAACAGAAGAAACTATCACATCAGCAAGATCTGGAAGAGCAGACTGCATGGAGTTTGGGACGTTAGCGCTTTCTTCTTCGGCAATTGAAGGCAGAGTTCTCTCACCATCTTCATCCACAATGACAAAGGGACCAGTGCTGACCACAGCTTTGGCATCTGAAATGACATGCAGCAAGTCTGTTATAAAGTTTCTGTCTTCCATCACCTTCAGACAGAAAACCAAAGCACTTACCACCAGGAAGGTTTTTGGCTTTACACCTTGAGCTACAGCACTCACATGCCTCCAAATCACCACTTAGTTCCTCCCATCTGAAAGGAAAGTTTCATTTATAGGACATTGGTAAAAGAAACAAACACATACATTATGTGAATATTGATACCTTGATTCAATCACATTATAGTTGCAGGATTTAGAGCCTGGGGTGACACCTTGGCCTGAGATCAGCACGCTACAGTGGATATACAACTTGTAGAGAAGAGTACACAACTCAGTTCAGAGAAGATTCAGAGCTGCACATCAGTGCAATCCGTTTATAGAGACTTACCTCAGAAATGAGATAAGACGTGTTCAGAACAAAATTAACCGCATCTGCGCTGTTGGAGGCCACAAACGTCACTCTAGTAGTGGAGGAACCCAGTGGGGTTACGCACCTGCAGTAAGCAGTGATATCACAGGCAATCAGAAGGTTAGACATAACAAAAACAGTTGAGATAGACACCCAACTGAAAACTCACCCTTTGTTAAATATGACTGTTTGCCTTGGTTTGGCCCGAGGCTCAGGGAACACCGAGACAAAGCAGGACTGGATGAAAGCCTCTTGATTTATTCTGGTTTTAGCCAAAACCTGAAGATTGACAAGCTGGCCTCTTTTGTAGATATTTGACTCTGCTGCGCTCGTCCAGGACGCTGCAGGAAAGAACTGCGTTTACAAATTAAGCTGCAGCTAAAACTTGATGTTGGATGTGTTTTATTACTTACAACTCATGGCTTTGATGCTAATGTCATCATTCTCAGGAAGTGCTGTGTCGCTAAACTTTGGCACCTTGTTCAACCTGTAAATACATGGACCTACTGTAAGTATGGTTGGTGACTAGCTGCAGACACTGAAGTAAGAACATACCTTTTTGCAACACAGAACACGTGGACTGCAGAGGGAGTTTCCCACCAGGTGGGAGAAATTCTTCTCAGATTCAAGAACAGGGTGTTGGTGAACACCTCCAAGTCATCCTCCACCTGTAAGATGGTGCAGTTTTGGTAAAGGCTTCATAAAAAGATGCAGAACTGCAACAGAACTTTATGCTCACCATAGGTGTAGTTCCACATTCAGCAAAACCATAAGTGAAGACAAATTCATTTGCAAGCTCTCCATTGCTGAAGCAGCCATTCCCCAGCTGTATTTCCTCTCCAGTCAGTTTGAGACCACTGACACTCTTATCAACCAGCACGGTTAGTGTAGATGCGTCACAATACACCTGTACTCTGGGAACATTGAGGAAGGGAGAGAGTCCAGCTAGCCTGTGAAAGTCAGGGGTCCAGGATTGCCAGGAGCTGAAGATTGGGCCTTGCGGAGTAAAATCAAAGTTTCTTCCAAATGAAAAAGGCACTCGATTTTCATAAACTCCCACAACATCCTGGGTGAATCTGCCATTGTGATACAGAACAGACTGAACAGCAATAACACAACCAAGAAACACACATAAAGATATCTGCGTAGTCCCCATCATGAGCCCCAAACAGGACCAACAATTCAGCTCATTCTCTTTGCCAAGTGCGTCATTAATAAGGTGCAGCGATAGTGGAGACAGGTGCTGGCAATCAAGCCAATGAAGCTGACTGGAAATGATTCTTTATTCAGTGTTAACCCCACGGCAGGTGGATGGGACACATCTAAGATTCTGTTAGTGAAAAATGCAAAAATAAATGAAGCAAAATGTGTATCTTGTTCACATTTGTGGTTGTTCAGAACTTGGTTTTTGAAATCACTCCGTTGAAGGCCCAACCAGCTGCCGTTTAAACCTGTTCTTGAGAACTATTCTAACCAGAAGGCATAAAGACAGGATGGCTTTATATGGAGACGAGCTGAAAACAGCTCGTTTCAGACAGAGGGACACTGAAGGGTTGCACCAAGGCCCAGTTTAAGATAAGTCAGGATTATTTGGAACTATAAATTATACAAAACTGTTTTAGTAGACTCCAAATACAAAAAACATGGTGCTGGATATAAGAATTATGCCTGTTTGTAAGGTGTTTGTGGGCTTGGTGATAACATGAAAACTTGTAGGTTAAGTCATCTGGCAGGCCATTCCTCGGCTACAATCTGAACAAACCAAAAGTTGTGAAAACTTGGTTAGTTTGGGTTAATCTAATGTCTATAACACCAAAAAAACTTGTATTTATGTTACAGAATTTTCTTAGGCAAAAATATTCAAAATTATATACTTCTATTAAGTAGATGAAAGACATGTAATTTAACTCTTTTCTTTTCTTCTATGTTGAGCGAACCTCGAGATTTAAGATTTAAGATTACATGTGTTAGATGTGTGTCGGCACACATGGCAGAAAACAAAATCACACTATAATTCTGGAATACTTTCAAGGAATGAAAGGAGTTGAAGGATAGCACATAAGAGGAAACTGGTTATAAAAGATTAAAGAAAGACATAAACTGGGAGCACACCACCTTCTGCCTCATCTAGGTGGAGCCATTGTCAAAAAGCTGACTAAGGCTACGTTCACACTGCAGGTCTTAATGCTCAATTCCGATTTTTTGATCAAATCCGATTTTTTTTTTCTGCTTGTTCACACTACAAATAAAATGCGACAGCAAACGCGCTCTAGTGTGAACGCTCAAAGCGGCCCGCATGCGTAAAAGAAGATGTCACACACAACGCGCTCTGTTTAGACCCAGAGCAAACAATAATGTTTGATTGATGGCCCTTAATATAAAGACTTCGGACTTTACGTTTCCCAATTTTTGCTTTAAGTTATTTTGTTATTTGATATTGTAAATAACCTAATAATTATCCTTATTGCTGTTTTAGAGGAGCGGTGCTTCAAAGGATAGTTGCAGATTTTGAATTTGGGGCACTGAATGTGGTTTTTAATCTGCTTTTTTTTTAGCAGCTGACTAATCGATTAAGACCCAATGAATACAGAGCATTTGCCCAACACTTTCTTCTTTTATTTGACACTGGTATTGTTGTGATGGATTGTGCAAAGTCAGGAAATTTTTATATTTGTAACCTAGGTCTCTCCCCAGCAATATAAGACTTGAGCAGGCAAATGCAGTGCTGTGCAAAAGTCTTGAGCCTCCCTCATTTCTTTACATTTAGCTTCCAAACAGGGTTCCACTGGGTTTTCTGGGGGTCTTTCAAAGGTTTTCTTTGAACATTGGCCACATTTTCACTCATTTTAAGTCCCGTCCTTGTACCTGACAATTTTTGGAAGAGTGTTTGGTTGTTTTTGTTGTGTTTTTTACATTCGTTAAGACACTTAACACCGACATATGACTCACTTAAGCATTAAAAAGGGATCTAACTCATAGGAACCAGTTTTTTGTCTACACATAATATACACGTTAGAACAAAAAACCAAAAAACAAATTTAAATTGTAACTTTTGGCTCTTTGTCTTAAAGAATTTTACAGATTGTTCCCATTTCTTTAGTAGAATCTTTGTCAGAGATAAAATATATTCACAGGCATGAAATATTACTTTTGCACAAAGGGATTCCCAGAAAGCTATCAGCTGAAACCTTGGCATATATCATGCAGTCCTTAAAAACTGAGGAAACTGGACAAGAGGAGGACGAAACAGTATCTGAAAGCTATCTGTAAAACACAGTGGAGGTGCTGTCATGTTTGGGGCTCCATTTCAAACATGGTGTGTTTCCCATTAATGGGATTATTAATGTAGAAAAGCTTTTTGATATCTGGAAAGCATCTGATTAGCCACAGCTTCATTTTTTTTAGCATGACAATGATCCCAAGCGCACTAACAATGCAGTAAAAGCATACCTGAATATAAAAACACAGAAAGGAATACTCCCCGGCCCCTCAAGGCTTGTTAGACTTGTACAAACTCTGCTTGTGCCTTATCTGTTTCCATATAGTGTAGTCTACACGTTTTAAGAAGTAGCTGCACTAATTCCCAATTTCCTTGCAAAATATAAAGAAATGAGGGGTGATTCAAGACTTTTGGTCTTGTAAATAACAATTGGCCTATATTCTCATTCTGGGAGAATAGGAAGGTTAAATCCAGGTTTAGTTTTATACTTTTTGCAGAGAATATATAAGCTACAGTCAACAGCATTCATAAGTATAAGAGTATTTCCCAGCAACAGACAAGGTTTGTCTGAGTCCACTTAAACCTGCCGTTGTGGTAAATAAATTACACAATCATGAAGCACGGTGACATGGGGATTAGCACTGTTGCCTCACAACAAGAAGGTCCTGAATCCATCAGGCCGGGGTGTTTCTGTGTGGAGTTCTCCCCGGGTACTCCGGCTCCCTCCCTCCAAAGACATGCAGTTAGTGGGGTTGGGTTAATTGGTAACTCTAAATTGCCCACAGGTGTGCGTGAAGGTCAGTGGAAATGGTTGTGTGTCTCTAGGTGTTAGCCCTGCGACACACTGGCGACCTGTCCAGAGTGTAACCTGCCTCTCCCCCTAAGACAGCCGGGATAGGCTCCAGTCCCCCTGCGACCCTGACAAGGAGGTTAATAATGGGATCACGATCATGACACTTTTTTAAAATCTAAAAACAATCTAATAAACTATAACAATAGCCTATGTGAATAAAGCTGTATTGTTTGTAAACATATGAATACTTGTTATTGCCTCCGACCGACACTGGAGTGTTTTTGTTTTGTTTTGTTTTGTTTTTTTAAGGTATCGTGGGCGGAGCTTCCGCTCAGGTAGAGCCCGTGTGTTCCCAGGTGTGCGGCGTTTAGAAGAAACCGACAACCCGCCGAAAAACGGTCGAGTCAGAAAGCTGTCGAGAATGAATTTACAAACGACAATAATATGAAAAACAAAGGAAACAGAAAGACGGGCACAGGTGAGTTAACCTTTCACGTAGTCTGGCAGGTACCGAGCAGGGGAATGTACGTGCTAAAGTTTCTAGGCGTGGTCTGTGCTTTTGAACATGGAGCTCAGTGAGGAAGAGACATAATCAAACCACAGTGTTATTGTTCTATTATAACTTAATATTTTAGTGTTTTTCTCGCCATTTATACCAGTTAAGAATAATCCACCCATCGTATGGTTGGGTTTTACTATCAGTGATATTTCTTTAGACTTTCCTTGATATACAAGTGAATCTTTTGGATAGCTGTGAATTATTGGATGCTAACAGTTTGGATAGGATAGTACGGTATGGAGCCTGTACCCCTCTAAGCATCCTTTAAAAGTATGGAGCCAAACAAAGGTGAAAGGATTAGCTTATACTTTATCTATTCACACTGGGAATTCAGTACTGTTACTGCTACTTTACACTGCGGTGGGAAAATGTGTGGCAACAAAGGACAAACTGCCAATATTATGACTGAAAACAAGTATTTCAACAGCACCCACCTGTGCGTGAGAGCAGCGGACCATTGGGCCACCTCTGTGTGCTGATAAATGTTTGAACACCCCACCCTGAGCTTTGTCTTGTTTGGTTCAGGATTTGCTTACATGGTCTCTAAACATGTGTGCTTCACTCTTAAAACGAGGGACACAGAATAGTGCAGCGTGAGCCTGCTGAGACCTGCAGTCTTACCACAGCTGCAGTATTTTCTGCATGCAGTGGAAGACATCTTCAGGCCTCTCTGCAGGGGGCTGGGGATAATTGTGGTTACTGCCTTGTTCTCATATTGTGCTAACCGCTGCCCCGCTTCCTTTTTAACTCTGCATAAGCCACGGTAAAGTCTGCACTAACTTCACACAAGGTCTCAGTGTTTCACATTGAGATCGTATTTCAGTTCAGTTCACATTTAATAAACTTGTATGCACACGCGTCAAGCTGATGTGCACACAGCTGTCAGAAAGTATGAACTGCTGCACACACAATGCAATGATGATGTAGCTGTTTATCCGTTTCCCCCGCGGCAGAGATCATCATGTTCAAAGCTAAGTTAAGCTCATGATTTCAAGATAACATATTTTTGGTTTTGGCTTCCCTCAGGACTATGCTGTGCCAACCTCAAGGACAACAAAGTCTTGATGAAGATGGGGTTGGCGCTGGTGCTGGTGGGCCATGTAAACTTTATTCTTGGAGCACTGGTGCACGGCACTGTGCTCAGACACATCAGTCTGCAACGCCAGGTCAAGAATTTGGTGTACCCCATCGCCAATATCATCGCTATCGTGGCAGGTCTTTTGGTAAGGGCTAGGACTGACAGCTGCGTACTGTTACATACTGCATATTAAAAGGGAAAAAAAGAGACAAAATTACAGGACATATATTTAAGGGTCATTAATGGCTTTATCCTGACCACACCAAAGGGCCAATCCCTGGATTAAACAAACAAACAAACCCATTTAAAAGCTGCAGGAGAAGCAGGTTTACAGAGACAAATTTACAATCAGAAACATGATCAAACCATCACAATGGCACATTCAGTATACAGCTGGAGTGTCCTCTCTGTCACTTGAATGTTAAACTGAATGTTTGAGTCATGTTGCGTCATCTGTCTGAGTAATCATCTTTTTTTGCTGAACTTCTGGTTTTTCTTTAGGGAGGGATCTGTGGAATAACAGCTATAGTCCTATCCAGAAACAAGAAAAACAGGATCCTGGTAAATATTCACTTTGCCAAATGGCTCTTGATTCCGGGTTGCTGTTAGAACCTGCTTTTTGTTTGTGACTCAGTGCGTGTGTGTGTGTAGATAACGATTTAAATACGTAACATACTTGCATGCAAGCGTAAGCTCCAAACAGGTTTGAAACATTGGATGTGTTTTCACTGAACAATCTGTGCCATCAGCTACATGCTAAATGTCATCTTTTCTATCATGGAGAAATATTTCTATCACTTCCCAACATACACTACAGCTCAAAAGGCTTTAGCCAACTCACACTTCTTTATATTGTGCTACCAAGGAGTGCTCTTGAGCAATACTTCAAAAGTTGACTCTGATCATCTGGACGTAGTGTTTTCAGTCCAGATGAACAGAATCAACTTTTGGAGATTTACTTACCTGGGTGATTGAGCATGCATCAAGACTCTTGAGCAATAGTTCTCCAGGCATTCTAAAGCTAGCGTCCAAAGTTGTTGTTTTTTTTTTTTGCTTTGGTTTTTTTGTATCTGTATCTGAAAATTTTCAGATGATTGTTTTTGAGATTTTTTTTTTTTTGTTAATCCACGTAACACTGACCTATATGAACGCATTTCAAATTGCTTCTTTAGGAACTTTGTTACAAGTAGCCTGTCACAAAAATCACATAGTTTGTTCCAGTTTCTTCAACTGACTCTATGAAAAATGCTGCAGTTTAAAAATAACAGTTTGACAGGCATAAAATAGCAGTTTTACCCAGAGTGCTGTTGGCTGAAAATTTAGATCTTAGCATATCTTAGCCTGATGTGCAGTCACATCACACACTTTCCGTCAGGAATGTGTCTAATTGGCCACAGCTTCATTTGATTGATTTATTTGTTAGCATGACAATAATCCCAGCGCTGTTTTGGCAGTGCAAAAAAGCATACTTGGATGGAAAAACACACAGTGGGACATTTTGAGTCATGGCTTGGCCTCCCCACAGTCCCACAAAGCTTTGAATGTCGTTCAAGAAGCCTGGAGAACTTTTCCTGAATAGTACTTAAAGGTGGTCATTCCAAGTATTGACTTTCAAGATCATTCGAATTGTACCAACTCTGTTTTCGTCGTGTTGTTTTTGCAGATATGGGTCCTGCTGGTCTTCAGTTTCATAGCAGGTTTCCTGGCGTCTGCCTCCACCGTGGGCTTGTTAGCTTCTGTGATTACAGCTATTATGTCCAAAGGAAAGGCCCTGCTGTCACAATGCAACGCAGCCGTTCAGAATATTAGCTCTTTTAGCATCACAAACGAATGCCCCTTTGATCCCACCCGTATCTATGTAAGTTTAATATAAACATTCATCTAGTGACCGCACTTCTGATTTGAACTGTTGTGTGGTGATCAGTTTTGCACTTTGTTTCATCAAGGCGACCACCATCATTCTGTGGCTGCCGCTCATCTTTATGTCTGTTGTGGAAGCAGTGTTCTCCTTCCATTGCTTTGCTGCCTGCACTTCATTCCTCTACCTCTGTCCATGCAGGAAGAGGCCACGTGTGAAGAACAGGGTAAGCGACAGTCAGATCATTGTCAGCAGCGTTAGCGGTACATTACTTATTAGGGTCACATCATAGTAACAAATTTCAAGATTTTGTTTTTGTGAGGAAAATGATAACGATAATTTTCTACCTGACATTCTTACAATGATATCTCTCTGTAATAAATATATATTAAAAAGGCAGACATGTAATCTTCAGCCAGACGTCACATGTCTAGATTTGGTTGAGAAATACTTTGAAAAGAAAATTTGCAAAGATGTTGAAGATGTCATATCGCCATCTGTGGGACGTCCTTCTTGGTCTCTCTAGCAAGAGAAAGTTTGTGTACAAGAATAGTTTTATTTGATCATTTTAACGACCATGTTTCCTATTCTTATCACTTGTGCCTTCTGTTTTGCAGTAGTGTGAATAATATCTCTTGCTTGTCTGACTGGATAACTATCGTTGGTGGAATTGGAGTATCCATCCAGCATACATGTACAGCTATCCTTCTCTGGTTCTGTTTTTACAGTCACTGATCACTTTTGAGTGGCAGCAGAGCAAAGAAGGGAAGCGATGATTAATTTTAGGAAAAAAATGGCATAATTTTAAAAAAACGTGAAGAAATTAAACACGGAGGTTGATGCAGAAATAGCAGCAGACTTTGAGTGTCTCTGTGCGCTAGAACAATATTAAAAACTGAACGTGTGCACTTTAAGCACTTTTCCAGTGCTCATATTAATAAGGTCTCACCTATTTGAAGTAAGGAAAAAAGCCAGCTACGCAAGAAATGTATCGCTGTCATCGTAGCCCTGTAATTAATACCGAATCTGATGCATTAAAATTGTTCTTCCATTAAATTAATATTTGTGCGTAACAGTTTTATTTATTTTTCAGCTGAAGCATCGGTGCAGCGTAATGATCTGTTTTGAACCAATTTCTGCATATATAGCTTTGCAGTACCGTAGCTCTAACCAAGAGATTAGAAGTTGACATCTTATTACCACCATGAAGTAAACCTGTGCTATTAATTCTATCCCATCCCCACTGTTGGAAAACATCATGTGAAATCATTCATATTTCAGATGCGGAGATCTGCTGAAACCACACCAGCACTGCAATACAGGGAGACGGACACTGAAGTGGGATCTACAGAGCAGGATGACCTGCTGGACAGCAACACTGCTGGGGTGCAGAGTGACTTACTCTGAAGCAGCTCAATCTAAGAGAATAGGTTACAAAGTGCTGAGCTGCACTGGCTAAAGCGTGGATTGTTACACATTTAATGTATGAAGACAAGTTGACAATAGGGCTAGCCTTTTTATATCAAAATGCATTGTATTCTTGTGTTAAAGAATTAAAACTTTTCCAAACAAAACTGAAAACTACGGGACCTTTTGTTGCTCAATAACATCTGGAAGCTGTCGTCTTTTGTGTTGAACACTTTTACTGATGTTTTTCAGAATACAAATTTATATATACACACACAACAGATGATCTCTGACATGTCTTGCCTCTCAAGTTCCTGTGAGATCTAAGCCTTACACTAAGTCTGATTCAATCTGACAAAACGTTATCAATATCGCAACCCGGGAGCCCCAGAAATCAGACAGATGTCATCGTGGCTGTAAAGGACAGAAACTAGAACCTAAAATATAAAAATATGCTTACGATGTGCCACATAAAAGCTAATTGTGAATGTTCAAGCGTCTCACTGACTTTGGCAGGCAAGACCAGTGACACAACATTACAGAAAAGGATCTAGGGTACCAGCATGCTGTTCAACTACATATTCAAAGGCACAGGACAAAAGTGGGACTGAAATACCTAAAATAAAGTAGCCAAAATATCATGATTTAAATAAATTAAATCCATCAGATATATAAAAGCAGACATTTGCGAAGCCATTTTTACAATGTTGGTCACAAGAGGGGGGGAAAGCAAGTATAAGAGCATAAAAAAACGAAACCGTATACAAAAACAACACTTCAGTCCATTAACAGCAAAGTTGAAAAGGTTTTCTAGAAAAACACAGAACCCGTCTCCATTCTCATGGAGAGAGGTCTCATTGTAAAGTCAAAGTCCTTTATTTGCTTCCACTGCAGCAGTCTTATCCAAACAAAATCTCCGTTCTGATCTGTTGTATTGGCGTCACTGGGTGCTGAGGACCTCAAGGTGTCTTGGATTCCTCTTTTGGCCTAAAGAACCCAGAGTAACAGCGAGTAAGGACATTATTAGCATTCCCACTTAACCACCTCCTGGACAACAGGGTCAATGTGTGTGTGTGCACTGTTTTCTCACTTTGATGTGTCCATTTTCTCCTCCTCTGGCACCTTCTCCTCTTCTTTGACTTCTGTTAAAAACAAAAATAGCATCAGCCACCCCGAGAGCCATAAAAATCATATTTAAGTGCTCATGATATTACAGAACTACATGAGATAGGTGAGATGAGAATGAAAAGCATAGATACCTTTTGTTTCTCCCTCACCTTTCTTCTCCTTTTCTTCTCCCTCTTTCTCTCCTTCGGATTTAGTTCGCTTGGCCTTCTTGAAGCTGGCAGCATTTCTGCGGCCTCCTTCACCTTCATCCTCCGAATCAGAGAACTCCTCCTCACAGGCTATCCTCTTGTCACGAGAACGAACTGAGGGGTTAAATTTGAACATGTTACACTCTCCCGTCTGGCAGTTTGAACTGAACTGGGGTCTGTGTGAAGGTTCTTACTGGATACGCGCTTGTTGGGATCCTCCTCCTCCTCATCCCCGCTGTCCTCCTGCACTGCATCTTCTGGAATGGCCTGCATCTGGACACCAGGGGCATGAGGGAGCATCCGCAAGTTCTCAAACAGGCGCTGCCTAGAGGGGAGAAAGAGGATTTTTCAGTCAAAACATTTTCCACAACCTATGTGAGCTGCTCTTTTCCAGCAAGGCTGCTATAAAAACTAAAGAGCTGTTGAGGAAGAGCTTTGTGTATGCCTTTCTTCAATTCTAGCCAGGATACCAGATTTGTGTTCATTTAACAGGCCCAGGTTTCACTCTGTGTGAAACCTGGGCCTGCGTGTAAGCAAACAGACCAAATTGCTGATTTAGGTTCTGTTTTAGGCTGCAATGTGTCATTTTGGAACATGTTTTGCTGGCAGGGTGCCACGGGATATTTTTGTTCTATAAAATGTGTTGTGGCTCAAAAAAGGTTAAAAAAATACTAATTTAATCTATTTTCATGAGCTTACTTGATCTTCTCCAGGTAGTCGTTGGTGTTCTGATTGGTCATGTTGGAGGGGCTGATGTGCAGCTTGAAGTCTGGCCCAAAGTACTCAAAGTAGTCGTTGTATGGAAGCTCTGTGAAGCAAGTTTTATTAAAAGTATGTTAATGCTTTAAGGAGGCTGCTGGCCTCCTTTAGTGCTATGAAACCAAAGTTTGCTGCTAGTTCGTGGGACCAGCACAGAAGAATGTTACCCAACGTCTGTGTCTTAATTACAGCAAAGACATTTAAACACACCATTTGGGATGGAGGTATCTAGGGCCACGGCAGTCTCATACGTCCAGCAGCGTGCCACATTACGGATAGTATAGCCTCCTCCACCCAGCATAAGCAGTGGCAGGTTGAAGCTCTTCATATACTCCACACACTTAGCATGACCTAAAGCAAACAACATGGAAACAATCATTAAGCCTTCTTTAGAGTCTCAGTCCAATTTAGATCAAGAGAAGAGGATTTTTGTTTTAGTTAGCCAACCTTTGATGGTGAGGTTAAAGCAACCAAGCCTGTCTCCAGACAGCGAATCGGCTCCACACTGGAGAACCACCGCGCTGGGTTGGTACATCTCCATCACTTTAGCCATGATCTACACAAACAACACAAACACTATCACGAATGTTTCGGTACAAAAATGTCAAAGTGCAAAAGTTACCAATAGTTTTTTTTTTACTCACAGGCTTAAATATGGCTTCATAGGACTCATCGTCAATCCCATCCCTCAGCGGGTAATTCACAGCGTAATATTTGCCCTTTCCAGCTCCGATGTCCTACAGAGAACAAAGCAAATATCAACTGACTGCATTACCACACTGACATTTTGAAATCTATTCATCAAAGACCTACCCTGAGGTCACCGGTGCCAGGGAAGTACTCTCCATACTTGTGGAAGGACACGGTCATGACACGGTCTGTGGTGTAGAAAGCCTCTTCCACACCATCTCCATGATGGATGTCAATATCTATGTACAGAACTCTCTGGTGGTATCTGAAAATAAAAGGAAAAGTTCTTGGAATCCACATAATGTCAGAAATATCGTCATTTACTTTTGAGGCTATATCACTTGTGTGCTTTGGGTCAGTGGCTTCCTTCATCTTGCAACAACACAGTTTCTTCAAAGAACAGTTTGTTATCAGCTGTGAGGTACCAAAGAAACCACAAACCACGATGCTTCTTCCAGTATGTTTTACACCTGGAATGAGGTTTTGGTATGCAGTGTCGTCTTTTCTTTTTCTGCCCTCCCAAATGTGGTCTTTTGAATTGAATTTGGATTTTGGTGGGCCTTGAGACTTCTACAGTGTTTTTGTCATCATTCATGCCTTTATTTACACCTCCTGGTATGACTTTTGATGGATTTATACTGAGTATAGGGAGTCTGATGAGCAATCAAGCTATTTTGCCTTTTCCAATTTGTGCATACTTATAATTCTTCATCTAAGGCTGTGTGAAAGTTGTTTGTATCGTGCTATAGTTCCTACCAACCCATCTGTCTTGCACTGATCACTGATAAGAGTGTGGGACCTCCTCAACTTTTGTTTTCAATCTACTCATCTAAAACTGTATCTTTTGGAGAAGTAATTTGCAGAGACTTTTACTTCCCTTTTCCCTGCTGTAGCATTTTTGACTTACTTCAGTAACTCCAGGATAGCCAACACGATGTCATTGACATAACAAAACCCAGAGGCCTCTGACTTCTTGGCGTGATGAAGGCCTCCAGCCCAGTTGATAGCAATGTCTGTCTGCTGTTTGTTCAACTTCACAGCACCGGCTGGAGGACCGCGAGGATGTGAGAATTGAGAATCAGATTATGTTGAATTTAGCAGATTACTGACATTATTACTGAAAGATGCTGCATGCCTCTCTGATGAGAGTTCAAATAAAGAAAACTCACCAACGGAGCCCCCGCCTGACAGCTGGCAAAACTCAAATAATCCATCAAACACTGGACAGTCCTCCCCCACATTAACTGTAAAGAAAAGCACAAAATTAGTCAACGTACACAATCAGTTTAATTGACTTTAGCTAAACAGCAAGTCTCTTACATCTCTGCATTTGTTTGCTGTATTCTGACATGTTATCGGGCCGGATTGAACGCAGGAACTTGATGTAATCGTCACTGTGATACTTGGTCATCTCCTCCCCACTCGCTTTGTGTGGACGCTGCAACAAAAAGGGGCAAATTACTTACAGCTACTAAAACCAAACTTACACATCCAGACTGTAACTTTCACATACGTATATTTCCATCTTTCTGTAGAGGCCATAGTTCAGTAACAGGTTGTGTGTCATGCGGATTCGGTGGGGCTTCATGGGATGCCCCTGTCCATAATAATAGTTTCCAACATCACCTGAAATGAGAACAAATAAAAACACACTGGATTACTATTTTACTCTACAGTCACGACCTCAGTTAGGAGAAGCAGAGCTGAAGTACAGAGGTTTGCACGTATGAAACATCCATGCAGCGGAAAAGGTTGTGAAGGTATCCAGCTGTAACTTCACGCAGGTCTGTTAAGGACCTCAAGCCAAGACACGCAGATCAAAGAGTCTCTGTTAAAGTCCAAACTCGTGGCGTACACGGAGGATTTAGTGCACTGTGGGTCAATATCGATGAAAAGCGGTTTTTTTAACCAGAACCACCGACATCTGAAGGAAGTAAGACGACCTAACCAAGTGTTAGCCTACTATTAACCAACTGTATTAACAATGAAGTACCCATTGTTAGCCTGCTAGCTAGTAACATTAACTAGTCCAGTTAAAGTAACAAGGTCCGGAAGAAAACGCTTTTAAGCAACATCTGAAAAGAAATCCTAGTATTTAGACAGTCTGAGCAAATATTATTGGAACATTAAGGCTCTGCTCGGACACAGCGGGACTGTGAGCGGCTCAGATGCTGTAAAGCCGCCTGCGACTCGAGCTAGCTACGTTAGCAACAGTGCCAGGTTAGCAGGAGGTTAAAAAAAAAGAAACGGTAACCTTTGTTAGTGCAGAGAGGCGGATTTGATTCATCAACACGCCAGCGGTTTAGAGTGCAGCAACCCCAGTACTCACCATCATAGTAGTAGCAAACTTTTTTCTTTGTTCCTTGAGAAGTAAGCGCCATTTTTAGTCCGTTTTTAGCTGAATTTCACCGCCGCCGCACACACACCGCAGGAGACAACGGCGACAAGAGGCGGAGAGTTTGTGCCACGGCCAATCAATGGAGTGTGATGCTATAGTCTCGCCACAGGGGGCGACAGAGGGAGAGGCTGACAGAATCCACGACATGAACATGAACTACAGCGCGGATGAAATTATTTCTGTAGTTTACCTCATTAAAGACAGCAATATCATAATTGTTTTTATTTTAGTTAGAAGAGATTTTGCTTCATCCAAATCTCAACATTAACATAGAAGCAGAAGTATAATAAAGATAAAGATCCCTTTAGGGGTCGCCAAAGTGGATCATCTGCCTCCATCTCAGCCGATCTGTAGCATCCTGTCAGCCTCACCTCTCCAACTTTGTCTCTATTTGTCTCTGTCCTTCTGATGTAGGCATTCCTTATCTTTTCTATCAATGAAAATCTTCAGCTTGACCACCTGACTTTTTTGTTACTATCACTATCTCCATTTTCCATCTTTGACTATGGACTATGATTCATAGCCCTCAGAGCCTGCTGTCTGATCGTGTGGGTCAACTGTTCCATCACCATTGCTTCTCTCCATCGTACCAGCAGCTCTCCTCCGTTACCTGTCAGTCTTTAAATTTAGAGTCCATACTCTCACCTCTGCCCTGCCTTTCATTCTCTCTCTGCTGCCTAACACATCTTCTCTTTTCTTTTTCATTTGTCTTCAGCCGACCTTTGCACAGTTTCCACCTTCACCCTGTTGCCCAACAGCACCAAAGGAAGTCATTGTTAAACTGGGATCTGACTGAAAAGGTATGAAGATCTAATTTTTGGTTTGGCAAAAGATTTACTGTGTTCTTCCTGATACAACTCTCTCGATTTATCCAGGACTGGAACCAGCACTACAGGTATGCTGGCTTTTGTCTGGTCAAAAAGCAAAGCAATTAGTATATTTAACTATAAGTAAAGTCAAAGCTAAAACTCAGATTGATTTTGTTTTATTTAACTTACAAAAATAAATTGTTTAGGGAAAAAAATTACAGTACTTGGGGAAAGCCTCCCTATATTATTATTATTATTATGAAAAACTGAGCTAGAACTGATGCTTTAATTAGTATAAACTAAACTAAAAGCAGTAAACCTACTCAAGCAAACCCACTCGGGAAAAGAAAACTAAATGGAAAACAAAAATTAAAAAGAAATAATAAATATATAGAAAAAACAAAAAAATGACTGTGTTGTAAACAGCATTTTAATGATGCAGCTGCTTTCTCCATATTTAATCAGAGGCAAATTTCTCAAATATAAATGTCTTTGTTATGTAAATAAAATCCTACAACAAGCAAGTAGCGCTGCCCCTAAAATAAATACAGCATTGTAAAAAATATTATTTGCCTTTAAAACGAAATGCAGTACAAGTTTAAAGAACCCAAGATCAATGGAAAATTCAGAAGTTACCCCAAAACTTACAGTACTCGAGCAATAGCAATAGTTTGACGGCTCTCATGATTTTAGGGTAACGCACTGCAACATCAGCAATGATAAACTAAAATAATGCACATGTCATCTGGTAACAAACAACATTCATGAACAGCTTCTCTTTTTTTACTGAAATTAAAACACTTTCAAAAACATTTATTAAACAGCAGAGGTAAAACACAGCTGAAGCAGTGAACAGTATTTACACGTTAACAACAAGCACCAGGAGAGCAGCTGCTTATCCAGCTACATCAGTCAGTCCCCAGTTAATTCAAGCAGCTTGGCGATCACGCTCCCCTCTGCTGCATGGCTCTGATCCAGCTGGTTCATATTCATAGTTCCATAGGTAATAGTATCATATCTAAGTGGTCACGTCAGAATATATTTGATGCAGAAACTTGGAAAATGTCTGTTTATCCCTATCAGTAGAAAGGCATGCATTCTTCTAAAGAAAAAAAATCAAAATCCAGCATCCACTGTCACAGGCTGTGCCTTAGTTTGAATCTGTTTATTGTATGTGTCTATTCCTAGCTATTCCTGGTATTGCCTCTCTGTGGATGTGAAGAAATCCTCCAGAACATTCCTCAGGTACTCGAACGTAGGTCTCTCCTCCGGATTCTCCTTCCAGCAGTGACACATGATGCTATAAAGAGCATCGGAGCAGTTGTCAGGCTGTGGCATTCTGTAGCTCCGCTCCAGGTTCTGGATTACCTCTGGGTTGGACATACCTGATAAAAAATAAATAAACAAATAAGAAATCAAATGTTTTTACAATTATTATTATTACTAGAATGAGTAATACGAGTGTGATCATTTACCAGGGTAAGGAATGCGTCCATATGTCACTATTTCTGTAAGGAGGATCCCAAATGACCACACATCAGATTTTATGGAGAAGGTGCCATAATTAATAGCTTCAGGGGCCGTCCATTTGATGGGGAACTTTGCACCTAGAAACAATGGAGAAGATTAAACAAGAATCTATGAAATGTTCTGAAATAGAGCCGAAGAGATGATATAGGTAAAGCTGTTGCTACCCTCTCTCGCTGTGTATTCGTTGTCCTCTATGAGTCGTGCGAGTCCAAAGTCGGCAACCTTGCAGATGAGCTCATGAGAGACGAGAATATTGGCAGCTCGCAGATCTCGATGAATGTAATTTTTCTGCTCAATAAATGCCATGCCGTCAGCCACCTGCAGGGGACAGCACAAGACAAAAGAAGCATGAGTGTGTGTGTGTGTGTTCAAGCACAAAATAAATGGCTGTGTACGGCCTGTGTGTATTTTAGCACTGTGCAATGTTTGTGTGTTAGACACATGAACCAGACAGATTCCCAAAGTAGGGAGTTGACTACTTCCTCGGGTCAGTTCTCTCTACCCTTTCACCTCTGTGCTCCACCCAGGTGCACAACACCAGCTCTACTTCCCAAAACAAAACGCTGCAGTCCTGGCTTTGCCTTCCCACAGACTGAGAGTTTATTACAGTGGCAGTCTGTGACTCATTCAGGTACAACACAGCTCATTTTGAAAGACGTGGACCTACAAGGGACTCTGATAGTGCACTCCGATGAATAAGGAAATTGATGCTAAGGATTTCCACAGAATTCACCACTCCACAAACACAAATTATCTGATACATTTATGGCGATCTGTTCATTTCTCTAGTTTTATCTAGTTTTTCTGAAGCTGCGGTGCATATTTCGGGCGTGAGAATGTGTCACATAGGCGGGGTGAAACCTGAGATGTACGTATGTTTGCGTCTTTCACAAAGTGGCAGTGTGACCTCCACCTCTACCTCTTTAAACCTCTTTGCACCTTTGTTCCATTCATTTGATTGTGGCATGAAAGAAATAATGGAAAGCATTTAAAAAGTTCTTAAAACCACACTTAGATTTGTGGTTGCCACTCTCAAAATATTATGAGTAAAATCTCTAATTCCTCTAACTGCATGCATGTACTTTAATTTAAACATAAGGTAGGGTTGTGACCACAGCAATAAATCACATTTGTCTCTATGGTCCACTGCATGGTGGTTACAGTTACCACAAAATCTATCAGTGCATAACTGGCTTGAAAACGTTGATTCTGTAAAAATGCGTTCACTGCTGTGCACAGACTCCAGCCCTCTGCAGCGAGCTCTGAGGCGTTCGAGAATTTGCCTCTTGCACATCGAGAATCTCGTCAGGTTAGACTTTGAAGCTTCAGCCTGCCTTCCTGTGGTTTTGTTTTCCATTCCCAAACCTACACATTTAACTTCTTTGACAGGTTATATTTCACAAAGTAGGAGTGGGTACAAATAGTAATATATGCTTAAAATTTTGCAGCTGAAGCCAGTGTGAAGTCAGCAGTTGGCTGGTTTAGCTTTGCTTTGCATTAAGACTGGAAAGATAAGGAAGCAGTGGGTCTGACTTGAAAGAAGTTTCAACTACACTTTTTCGTTTTCGACCTAAGCTTATTATAATACTTTCACTGCCACATGTATTCGGTGGCAAAGGCCATACTTTTAAAATTTTAGCTACGTTGGCATCTTTGTGCAAATGTGTGATTAAAAAAACACAAGATAAAATGTTCAGGCAATAGCCCCCTTGTTCGGTGGTAATAAGCCTCTGTGGTATATGTGCCACAGTGTCTAGACCAGCCTGCATTCATCAACATGGTTTCACATCTGCACGCACACACACACACACGCACACACACGGTTCTGATATTATCACCAGATTAAACTAAGCCTCAACAGTGGGTACTTTACTGCGTGGAAGTGCTGTGCTAGAATAATAGGAAGTGAAAAACGAAATCTTGTAAATAACTTGAAGAGAGGATGGAGATGAGTGGGCAGATATATTCACTGTAACAATAAATGTCTTGCCTGAGATGACATCTCTATCAGGACGTTCATGGGCAAATTGCTCCCCTCTGTTGTTTTCAGGTAATCCACCAGGCTACCTGTAAGAAAAATATACAACTTAAGTTTTCATTCATTCAAAAAGAATAACAGGTTGCATAATGGCACGTCCACATTACTGACTGTTATGCAACAAAGATTAGGCAACAATGAATGCTAAAATGAATTGGAAAAAACCATGCACTGTCCACAAGACTAATTATATTTCCCTTTATCCACAAAAAAAGCCCTCGCGATTCTCCGCAGCCATAAATACAGCGAGCTGGACCAGAATAGCACCTCAAATCAGTGAACATTTTACTTGGAGGAAGCAGAGACCATCAGTTAAGTTTCTGATAGCTGACTTTGTGTTGACTTTGATTAGCAGAGAACAATACCTCTGTGCACCACCCAACCAAGTCAGACCAAAGGAAATAGTTTCAGAGGAATGACTGTGCCAGGAAAGAAGAGGCAGTTACTCCTCTGCTTAAGTCCGGAAGACAGTTTTTGAAGTATGAGAACCAGGGTAAAGCTCTTTGTCAAGGTCACAAAGGGAAGCTGGGATGGCACGCCTGTTATTTTCCATCTTTGTTGTCTCTGATAATAAAAAAAGGGAGAAGCAGAAAAGATGGGAACTCCAGAGCCGTCCTTTCTTTTCACAACAGAAGCGACAATTGTGTCCCGTTAACATGTGGATCCCAGACAAAGACACGGCCTCACGTAGAACCAGTGCTGGTGGTTTGCAAGCTACTCACAGACGACTATACAAAGGCACGCCATTCATTTCAGCTGTAGGCCCGTTGTTGTGTTTGTGACAGCATCTCTCTGTGCATTTTGCGATTGTTCCTCTCAGTGAAAGATTTGTGGGCAGTAAACCTTTATTGAGAGTACTGAAACTGCTAACATGATTTGTGATTCACTGCAATTCCTCATATGTTATGTAAGAGGAGAGGGGAAAAGAGGAAGACACAGTGGCGAGATGCTGAACAAACTGTTATTCAAAGCGCTGCGGCATGTTTGTTTACGGCCGCAGCGGTGCAGTGTGCCGACATTTGTGTAAATGTGTCCCTGGAAAAGAGCCAGGCACCATCAGGGGTCTGTGTGAACAATAACACAGTGATTCATCCTCTCCTAATTTAACACCCTTCGTCTCAGACGGGCCCGGAGAGACTTCCCCTCGATGCGTAAACACCAGTAACCTGTCTGGAAGGGGCCCAGCAAAGAAGTGAAAGTTCATGTTTGCTTTGAAACATTTTAGCAGCCAGCAGTGAAGGCCACGAGGAGAAGCCGAAAATGGCCTATCAGAGCTTGGCCGCTTCATCAAAGCAGCAAGTTTTGAGGGGAAGGGCCCGTGAGTTACTGTGGCTGCCTCATTCAGATTTCCTCACACGACTCGATTCGTGTAAAAATTACAGAGCTTCATCTCTTATCAAAGATCAAAGTCAAACAAACAGAAGGGCAGCTGTGGATGTACCATCAAAACCTATTCTACTGATTCAACAGGCTCACTGAGGTGGAGCAGGTGTATGACGACATTATGACTCAGGGAAAAGAAGAAACGCATTGGGCTGCCCGCTCTTTTGTTCGAGCATGTGCTTTCACCCAAAGTCTGATAGGAGATCAACATGTTTAATCCTGAGCGTCTATAACAGCGCGAGAACTTACAACAGAAATTCTTTTGTCTTTGCTGCAGGCTGCAGGCACAGAGCTCACCCTGACACGGCAGGAGATGTCAGACAGGCTTAGACATATTTTAGATTACTTAATTGAATGGAAAGGAGCTGGTGTGATTACAAACGCATATCTCTTTAATTTACCTTCAAATAGGAGCTGCTCAGAAACACTGATTTATTTTCCTTTAATGCTTCAGCTGACATGTGGAATTCCCTCTTGAGTGTTGGGCGCTACTAGCTCATTAGTAAAATTCTCCAGGTTGTGACACATGTTGTGTTTCTGCCTACCATTTTCCATGTACTCGGTGACAATGTAGATCGGCTCCTGGGTAACCACAGCGAAGAGGCGGACGAGGCGAGGATGCTGCAGGTTCTTCATCATGTTGGCTTCTGCCAAGAAAGCTTCCACTGACATAGTGCCCATTTTCAGATTCTTGATTGCCACTTTCCTGTCGTTGTTGTAGACACCTGAAAACATATGGTAAATGGTAAATGGCCTGTATTTATATAGCGCTTTACTAGTCCCTAAGGACCCCAAAGCGCTTTACATATGCAGTCATCCACCCATTCACACACACATTCACACACTGGTGATGGCAAGCTACATTGTAGCCACAGCCACCCTGGGGCGCACTGACAGATATCTATATGATATCTATATGGGCATATAGATATCACAGGGTGAACTCATGCTGGTGTTTACCACTTAGCACTTTTTACTTTAGTATGTCAGAGCTGAAAAAATTGAGCTAACAAGCAAGTGTCAAAAAATGGCAAGTGTTTGAATGGCCACTAGAAGCTGGTTTAACCTTCCCATAGTTAACAACCTTCCCATAGTCTGGTGCAAAAACAGGTTTCTAACTGTTTCACTGTTTAAATCGTGGCAAGAGGACATGCAAACGCATGACTGTGGGTTGAAGTTTGAAAAAGACAAAAGAAGTGTTATATAAATACACATCCATTTAGCCTTTGGAGTTACACATTACAAGGGTGTGTCTGCCTTGAGTGTCTTAATATTTAATCTGTTACCCACCACCAGTCCAGTATTTGTGCAGCGCACCAGCACAGACTATGACTGTAACTTGCTGAGCGGTTTGTCAGTGAGATGGCTAAAATGAAGTGGGTGACTCCACGTTTGCCGTTGATTAAATAACATTGAATGCTAAATCATTACTTTTGTGTGCGGCCATGACTAACCAAGTCAAGTCAAATGTTAGAGTGCTGCTTGAAACAAGTCGCCCAGTACTTTATATAGTGTAAGGTAAAGACCCTAGAATAATACAGAGAAAACCCAAGAATCCGATGACCTCCTATGAGCAAGTACTTGGTGGCTCGAAGGAAAAGCTCAGCTTTAACAGGAAGAAGCCTCTGACAGAACCTCAGGGCAGCCATCTGCCGTGTCTGGGGTTGAGGGTGAGGGGAGGAGCGTTTAAAGCTGAATGGCAAAATGCGGTGTATAAAAATGTTTGCAGGCTCCGTGCTTCTGAAAATGAAATCATTGTGGGTGTAACAACAGAAGATTTATTAGCACCAATCCCAGCTATGGAGACATTTGGTAAAGCTGTCTTTTAATAAGATGTTTTATCTTTATTTTATTGTCTTTTTTTCCCTTCCCTGTAATGAAGGCCGATTGATATCATATCGTGCCAAATATGTCAAACAAAGCAAAGTCAGCAGGACTCCACTCTACTCATTTTTAGAAAATGTAACGACTTTTATCCACAATCAAATGTTAGATTATAACCCTGAACTTATTGCCAAACAAAGCTATGCCTCTACTCCAACTAAGAATGTTCTGTTCTGTCCACACGAGTAATTAAGCCCGTCTAGTTGCCGGCTGGTGATTTGATGACTCTAAACACAGCTCTTTTGTCACCAGTGGAGCGATTCAACGTGGGCCAGGCGAGCAACAGTTTTTGAATGGCTTTCATGCAAACAGGTTCTCATTCCAGCTCTGGAACACTGACACCCTCCTCATGCCAACTAAAGCCACAACCGAGCAGTTTCACTTTCAGTTACACAAAGCGCTGAACAATTCACACCAAACATGAAGTGCAGCGGCACTGTGAGCAAATTATTTTTACTATTCAAAGCATCTCTCTGCCCCTTTTATCTACTATGGAAATCTCGTTAGAAGACGTAGTTGTGTATTTTCATGTGCATGTGAATAAACATTTCAAAGCCAGGGACAGTCGCACCCACAATTCAAGAATGTCACTGAACCAATGTTTGGATGAGGATGAAGAAACAAACAGAGCTCTGGCTACATGGGAGCAAACATTGTAAGTATAAAGTGGCTGTGAGTGGAGAAGTTCCATTGTTGGTAATGTTTAGCTCTTAAAGAGAGGTTTGTTTGGGATGTTAAATTGTGCTGGCAAATGAGGATGGGGAATAGAGGGAAAGTTACCCCTGCAATTCAGTAATAATGGGGTTGTGGTACAGATTAGTTCAACTGATACCCATGTGATCCAAACACTTTGTGTCTTGTTTACCTTAATCCTTCACAGGAAAGCCAGATTTATGCTGCTTGAGCGATGTTGTGTAACACGGTTAATACCTCCCATCACTCTTCAGTTAACCAGCTCAAACAAGCCTACAATTAAGACTGCATGGAGGAAACGCTTCTGCATACACTGCAGAAAAACCCTGGCGAAAACTTTCTGGCAGCCACGCAGTCAAGGCCACAGCCAGATTGAGCAACTGGGCTTTGTACACACGATCTTTTTCTGCAAAATTCTGCAAACCTTTAAAAGTCATGCAAATGGAAATGCACTTACCCATCCAGACTTCTCCAAACTGCCCAGCTCCGAGCCTGCGTTCCAGTTTCAGAGACTCACGAGGAATCTCCCACTCGTCCTGCCACCAGGGCTTCTGCGGTGCCCTAGACTGACATGGTTTCACCAGCTTTGTGCACAGCCCGTCTGCATCACCTGAATGACAAAGAAAAGAAACGTATAAAATTATTAGAATGAAGACTCCACAGTAACCAGCAATATCGATAATCCCCTCAAGAGGCTGTACGCACGTGAGTGATGATGGACGAGCTCCTTCAGCGAGTTGAAGGATATCTTCGCTGTGATGTAGAAGCCACCATTGTCCATGTTGCGGATCCTGTAGTGCTTCACTCCTTCACCTGTGTTATGGTCCAGATCTCTCACTGATAACGAGTATGATCCTGGAACAGGAAGTTAGAACCATGATGATTTACTCTAAAATGTCCTAACTAAGCTTTTCACTGTCAGACACTGAAGGCTTTCCAAAAATACATCATCCACTACAACGCATGAAATTAGTAGCTAATGTATTGGAAATGTCAATATTAATACATCAGTACATTAGTACTATTAAAATTTTTTAATTTTCTCATAATATAGACAAAGTTTAATGCTAAAATGGCCTTTGAAGCAGAAATAATGTTGTGGGCTGATTCGCTCTGCGTAGATTTGCAACATCGTGACAGCTTTAATGCTTAAAGTTGCTAATCTGATCATTTTTACCAACCAGGAGCATTGAAAGTCCTTTCCACCTGACAAACCTGAGATACATGCACTATCTACTCCCATGTAACATAAAAATGTTTGCTTTGTTTCCCATAACGCTTTAAACAGGAAGCATATTGGTGTCATGGAGTTGTTATAGCTTGAACACACGTGGTAACCTCTGGGGCTTGAAAATTAAGAAAAGGCTTTGATGAGGCAGTATTAGGGTCTCAGCTGTTGTGAGTGACAGGTCGATAATACGTGTAGCTTCTAGCTGTCTTCCAGGTGTCACCTCACCCACTTCCTGTCACCGAAATGGACTTTTTGAGCATGTTTGCTGCCATGTTAACAGACCGTCCAGCAAACTCTTCCAGTTTTTCGGTGAGTGACTTAACTAACAGCGAGTAGCTGTGTGTGCATCTGGATGCATCTTGGCAATTAAGCTAGCTAATATAGCACTCACTAACCATATCAAAGATGGCCAACGTGATGGGGTGATAGTGGTGTTTGCAAACAGACTACAGTTTTCTCAGTGAGAAACAGCCCCAGCCCTGGTCTCTGTTAACAGTTTCCTGGTGGTTTTATGGGTTTAGTCGCTGGTTTTTGGTGAGATTTTCGATTTGTTGAGTAAAACGTTACCGTAAGTCCATTTTGTAAAGTTTTATCACTCTAAGTGTCAGAGAGCGGGTTTATCGAGAGGATGCTCATTGGCTAACGACTTGTGGTTTTCATATTAGCACTCAACCATCTGGTCCAAGTATTATCACTCATTGCTCCACAATAGTGAAGGCCATAATGCCAAACTTCAAGCTGAAGAACATAGTTGTGCAATCATCTATCTTTTATACACAGCTTATGTTTTATTCAGCTGAAGGTGAGAGTTTGAATCCTGCTACATTTCTGAAAATTTACCGCTTCAAAAGTGAGAGAAAAAAAAGGATTTACAAGCAACCAAATGATGCAACCATCACTCGATTAAGCTGGCAATGAAGAAAGCATGACAATGATTCTCAGACAGGTTTTGGTTTACGTGGCTGGGGTCCTCTTGTAAAGCTTAATGCACATATGGGAACACCCCTCAGTAACCAGCCTATATTGTAGAGACGCTGGTGTGGTCGTCTTTTTGTTGGAAAACGATTTGGGTGGGTTTTTTAATCTGTTTTTATTGTTTTATGTGTTATGAGATTTATCTTGTTTTTATGGACTATGAGTCTGGGATAAATAAAGATTGATTGATTGTAATAATTTATATTTTATAGTCATTTTACTACAATGCATAGAAACATCAGTTTTCTCACAAAATGTGAGTCACCGTGTGTTCCAGTGTGTTATGAGTCAGAGTTAAATATCTGTGGTAATCACACTGTACTGCGTTGTTCTGTGAGGCTGTACGTGGGCACAGTCGAGTACTTTAACAATTATAAGGTTCATTCGACGATGTTAAAAAAGCACAGTGTAGACCGCCGTACAGAACTGTGTGCCAGTGGCTAAAATAATGAATCGTGGCACACTTCAGGGGGGTGAGCATTTAGCAGTCGTGGCTTCATTTCCAGTGAAATTAATGCAGCATGTAAGTCATATTTTTATTTTAAGCAAGGAGCAGGAAAACAAAACTGAAACAAAACAGATGAGACAAATTGGGAAACAGGTAGTGGGATTACGGGAAACGCACGTAATAACAAAACTGACTGCTACTGAGGAAACCAGTCATATTGTTCATGATCTCACTTGTTCCATTTAGGTTATTAAAGGTTTAAAATGTGACATATAGCATTTAAGTGCATCTCAATGTGAATTAAAACAGACTGCTGAGAAGCCGCCTGTTGATCTGCGCAGTCGGTTTTCTGTAGAGCATTTTACCTTTGGCGGTCTCACTCTCTCGAATCAGGAAGGAACCCTGCGTATTCCCAGGAGCGAGGAGCAGCCTCATGGCTTCGTTTCTCGAAATGTTCCTGAAGAACCACCTGCAGCGCAAACACACCATATGCTTCACACTTTGAGCTAACCACTTCCCTTCCCTCAGGGACAGATAATGCATTGCATGACATGAGATGGTGTTGAGGTTGAATGACATGGCTTTGAAAGGCGTGTCAGCGTGCTTCCTGTGTGACGTACGGTTCGGTCTCCACGGTGGACAATGCGACAAAGTTGTAGGGGATGTAGCCCTGCTGGCCTGTGGTGAGAGACTCTGCCAGATACCATTCTGGATCATCCCTGCATGTCAGAAGAGGGAGCAACAATACTCTGAGTTAGTTATCATAGCCGTGATGTGTGTCACACAGCTTCAGAAAACAGGTTCAGTTCAACCCCAAAAAGGCCTCAATAGTCTTTACATGAATAAAATGAAGCGCATCGCTGGGAGGGAGAAAAATGTGTTGCTCTGTGTAAAAGAAGAAGACGCTGAAGGGAAAGAAGGATGCTCGGCACAGAATTAATTGTAAACGGCCCTAAAAATTAAAGATTTAAGATCTTGAGCTACATAAATTAATCTTGTTATGTCGTTGGAGTTCTGCCTAAAATCATTAACAATTGTCACACGTTTTAATACAATATGAGCTAGCAGTTGTTCCAGGAAGTTATGTTTTCTATGTCACAAACATATTTTTTTACTAAAAAACTGGTAAATCTTGCTACATTAAGTGTGCATGCAGACCACTAGCTTTTTATATTTTGATATATTAACTTTAACTTTCAAGCAAAAGATTATTTTCTTTTCTGCGTACATACACATATTCGAATGAGTTTCTATTGCACATTTTTATATTTACCCACATATATATAGCACAGTATGTCATATGGCTTTATTTCCTTTGCTGTTATATATATGTTTTTCTCTTGTTAAAGTTTGTGTTTCCTCTTTCAAACCCGCAAAATCACACGTCTGAATTTTTTGGGGGCATTTTTTTACATTTATTCAATTTTCAACAGCACACATTTACAGGAAGTGTTGGGTGAGATCATGTAGTCATAACATCTCCCATCTGAAAATACATTCTAAAACATATGGCGTGTATTTACAGTGGGTGCTCGGCAGTCCAGCAGACCCACAGCTGTGTGCAAGTATGATTAAAAGCTGAATTTAAGTCATTTGCAAATAAGTTAATCCCAATATTTAACTGAAAACGTACAAAGACAATATAGCAAAAAATGTGCTCAATTTAAATTTGGCGTCAACAATACATTAAAAGAAAATGTGGGGACAGAGCAGTTAGAGACTGGAAAAACTGTGTAATACGCAAAAAAAGCAGTTGGTGGAACATGAAGCTAGAAATGTTAATTAGAAACACGATCGTTTTTATAACGAGCGTCGCGCAGATGTTTTCTAATTTAAGTCTTTATCTGAGTCTTTCGTATTTAACGCTAGGGTGAAGCTGAGCACTTGAAATATCGATACCCATGATCTAAAAACACCACAGCCATCTTTTGGTGTAGTAAACAATGCGTACTGCCATGCAGGTGACAGACGTTCTTGCTTATTTTAGCAAAACACTGCTACTCTGTATTATTATTACAGCAGCTTGGCTTCACTTGTGGTCCAGATGTGTCAGCCATCCCAAAAACAAGATTACCCCAGCTGTTCCAATCAACAAACAAAAAAGAGATTTCACTTTCAAAACTGCAACGATTGATTTTCTCGTTTTCCTAACATACACAGGGTCACGATACACAGTGGAAAGTGTGTCAGTCCCAACTTTTTCAAACATATTTCTGGTATTAAAGTCAAAATGAGTGTGTATATATAATTAAAAACAAAACAATGCAGTTTCTCAGTTTGGGTTGTCTTTGTACAATCATCAGTTAAATGTCCTGGTGTTAAGGTTTTATAGCTTATAGTGAGTGGATAATGGACCAGATTAGTTCTTGGTTTCGTTGCAAGACATTGCTGTGTGTTTAAAAGCAGATTACTTGTTGAGGATCTTGAGTTTGTCTCCTTTGTCGAAGCCGAGGTCGCCGTCATGAGTGGGCTCATAGCTGTAAATGGCCACCACAACGTTGACTGCAAGACAAAATTTGTAGTTTTAGATGCAAGTTTACTTACAATTAACATGAAAAGCTTATGTCAAGCTTATTTCAACCTATTCCATTTTACATATCTGACAAAGACATGTGGGGCCCTTTCACGGCAGCACATTGTAATGCATTACATTACACAGAAAAAGCAAACGATCCCCTGTGAGCGTGAGCTGGCGAATGATCCCCTCTCGTCAGAGTGTACGAGAACAGCAAGTAGACATTTACAGGTGAATAATTAAAGATTTATTTATAGGGCAAGATAATGGCATTATAAATTGTTGTCTTTTCATTATTTATAGAACTAACTCCAACTTAGAGGCTAAAAATATAATAGATAAACTAGCGGAAGCTGTTTCCTGCATGGGGAAGGGAATCATCATAAAAAATGTGTCACTACATGATTTACTGTAACTACTTGCTGCAACTGATCCTGGATCACATTCATTATTACACAAAGGACCCAGGAAACAAAGTGTGGCTGTGGTACTTGAGTACACAATAAGCCCAAAGTTACTTGAATAATTTCATGCATACTTGGTCATATTTGTGTAAACAGCAAGAAGAACCACCGTGGAAACCAGAGAATGGAAAGCAAATGGAAAACTTTGTGTTCATAAACAATGAAATGGAAATATTTATAATGTGATGGGATGAGGGAAAAGTCCAGATGTACTGACACTGACACAATAAAAAAAAACTATATTACATAATTATGTATACAGTTATTTTCAAATTGTACTCATGCAGTGCATCTATTAGCCCGCAGGTAATTGTCTGAAGTGCTAAACTGAGGCTGTCGTGTGTAACTAAGCGAAATAATTAAAAATGGATTTAACTCCATCAGGATAAGTTTATAGACAAAATTTACTTTTTCTAAAACTTATTACCTGGTAAAGGTGATGTAGGAGGTGTCATCTGCGATGGATATGGAATCAGCTGCTCTGTGTACTGGGAAGAAATAAACAAGATTAGATTTCCATTTTATACTTTGTAAGATTTATGCGGTCAAACAAGACACCATCGCACGTCACATTCACTGTAAGACCGTGAAGTTCTACGGTTTCATACGTGGATCGTGACGGTAAATCGTAAGACATGTGGTTTTCTCCTTTATTTCTGTCATTTCCAGTCTAATGGGAAATCTAATTCTCAGAGAGGAAACAAACAACATTGGATGGATAGTTACGCCCGCATTTAGTTACACAACCAAATGGAAACTTTCCTCACAGTTATGTAAGTTATACAGAAATATATGACAATAATCAACAACAATCCACACAACACAAAATACACTGTGGGTTCACAGCTTATGTGTTTGTCCCCCAAGTGGTCATTCACACACACACCACAAACCAGAAGCTTTTCATGTATGGACGCTCATTCATGTGCACCAACACACTCACACTAATGTGCACATACTACACACAAGATGAACACTTACTGGGTTGCATGATTGTGGCGGTATGGGACAGTTGCAGTGTTCGCAGATTTCATCCAAGTTCTCGATCCAGTCACTGTCTGAATAGTCCGAACTGCAGTTGCAGCCCATCTTTTCTGCACGGCGGAAACTTGTGGTTATTTTCAAAATGCGATGCTCATAAAATGGGAACAACAAATTAGCAGTGGAAGAAATGGCATCTTAGATTCACCAACGAATGATTCCACGTCGCTTTACAACCACATGTTATAATCACTATTTAAAATTATGTAAGTCGAATTCTCTTGGAAAATCTAAAGAAAAACAGTATGAGTAAATCTTTTTTGGCTAAATTTGAAATTGTGTGCTCTAAAAAGCTTTTGCTTCCGAAAACTGCTTCAGTCGGATGTGACTGAGGGCCTCGCCTCAAAATGGAGCCTCAGAGGGAAATCGGACTCAGAAATATGAGTCTGAGACCTGAAGGGACTTTTTTTAAATGCTACCCTGCGTCAGTTAAACAAAATCACATCCAGAACTGACACAGTTTTGCTATAATGTTCAGCACTGTTCAATGTTCAGTCACATCGGGGCATTTCCTGCTCTCATTCTGGAGAAAGTAAAGCAGGCCCTGCAGAAGTGTACCAGTGTTAATCTGGTATAATCCAGCATCTGCACGTGCTCTGTATATTGTGTTTTAGACTGGTACTCTGTATGAACCGGCTTTCTCAGGCTTGCTTGGCTCCCACCAGACCATTCATGGAAGAAGGTCAGTGGGCCAATCGCAGCAGCCGTCTGTCCCAAAGGCTCAAAGCCGTGAGAAAAATCTGGAGAGTAACAGCCCACTACTGCCCTGAGACCCCAAGAAAGGAATCACAGAGGGATCATAAAGATGTTTTTATTTTATCATCAGCACTCCTACACTTACTGACACACACTCGGGGAGTAATACAAGTCAGCATTTTCCACTGAGGGGTTACCCTCTGCTTTTTATCATCGACATCTGAAGGCTTTTCCAAAATCATACTGATGGTTGGTGTTATTGTTTCCAATGTAACCAAGGCTACTTCAGATATTAAGTGTACCAGAAATGATGTGATGAACCAAGATTTTAAGACTTTTGACTTCAGTCACTCATTGTCAGTTCAGAAGCTTGAAGAAACAAACCATAAAAAAATCATATTTTTGTAAAAAAGAATAGATTTTAATAGAGTGGAATAGATATTCGATTGATTTAAGTTTTTATGTAAATTGCTGGGACACCATTTTAACAGCATACTGTTAAATTTATTTACCGTTTTAACAGTTGTCATTGTCGACATTGTTTCCATATACAGACAAACTTGTATAGGAAGTGTCAACTTTGTATCCAAATACTTTAATACCCAAACTTTTTTTTTTGAAAATGTTATTTAAAGACAGATTAATAAAGTAGATTTACAGAAGCGTTGGTATTTCATTACAAGAAAACGGTTTGTTCTTTTGTGGTCACATCTCCCTTGTAATGCAGATTTATATCAACAGAGGAGATAACCAGTAGCTGAATGCGCTTTGTTACTGTTGTGAAGCAGGCTGAACATTATTCATTTATTTATGGATTTATTTTGCGTTGCTGCTATTTGTTATTTTTTTAAGTTCAGTAAACTTCATAGAAAAGACCAAATTTGAAAACAAGCCCCAGATTTATGTAGAATATTTGCTTTAAGACAAGAAAGATGTTTAAATCCTTTCCTGTTACACCTTTATCACAGTTTCACTTTACTTCTTTGACCTAGTCTTATTAAAGTAAGAAGAATCACACGTGTGAAACTCACCTCTTTGGATATGAAACGTCTCCTCAAGCGTCCAATAATGTCCAATAATGTCAGATTTCAGGTGCCGCCATTGGGAAATCTTATTTAAATCTTCTTTTTTTAAAAAGAGCTGTTTAAGTGCAGCAAGCAAGTTTTTCAGCACTTGAGCCTAGGTGTGAAGATGTCATCATCCGCTTCTCTTATTATAACACTATCACAGGAGCACTTGTGCGGCGCCTGCATGCACACATGCGCACTATGGAGGGGAGCAACCCAGAGAGTTTCCTGTCGTTGAAAGGTTGAGGGTTGCTCTGCAGGCTTTTAACAGGTGCTTACTGTGCAGCTGTGTGAGAGCAAGGGGGAACGTTATGGGCTCTACGGTAAAGGGGTCAGGACAGCACCTTTCCCAAACACGGAACAAGACATGAATTTTCCAAAACAGTTTAGAGACGGGGGGCTTTTGTAGGCCGCGCTTTTGTGTCGCTCGCTGTTTTCATTTAACGTGCGACTTGCTGACCTTTAAAGTAAAGAACATCTTCAGTGTGCAGCTGAGGTGTTGGTCCAGAGCGGTTCAAAAGATATTTGAAAATCTTGCAGCACTCGGGACAGTTGCATTTCCTGTGTCGTGGTTTTATGCCCCGGGTGTTAAGTCAACAAGACTACAAAGTTTTCTTTTTTAGTCAAACATGTGGTTTGAGGATATTCTTGTCTGTGGCCAAAAAAGGCTTTAAAATTAACCTTTGGTCTTGGTTTACTCAGCTTACTATTAAAAAAATGTGAAAATATAAAGAGAAAAGCCTCGTCACAAGCTCCACATCTCCTTTATAGAACATTTTGTAACATAGAATCATAATTTTAGCTCTAGCAGGCTGTCTCATGGTCACATTTCTACTCGAGAGAAGGCATAAAGTAAAAACCTCTCTGCCTGCTAACACCCTCTAAGCCTGTGCTGTCGCATTTTCGACATTTCATACAACTCTAGCCGTGGACCGCATCTCTTCTCTTGTGGTGAACGGCTGCTGCTACATAGCGTGCACTAGCAGGAAGTCAGTCCAAACATTACAGGAAGTGCACAGAAATATGTGCTTAGAAGACTGCCACAGCATAGATTAAGTCTCACTCATGATGAAACCACCTGAGTTCACTCTTTTTTCCGTTAAAGTGCAGAGTATAAATCTAGGAGGATGTGTGAAACGTGCTTCATTTTTCTTTTTCTTTTTTTTAATTTTGAGAGTGATGTAAATACGTAGGTGCATGTGACAGAAGATAAAGTCTAATCATCCAAGAACTCTTCTTTGATACGTGCTGGGAGAAAAAGTGTCCCGCCATGTTTGGAGATCAGCTTTGTCCAGGCCTTCTGGAGCTTTAAGGGTATTCCTTTCTTCCTCTCGACCACAGTTGTCACTACTTCCAAATGTGGTTGGAAATCACATTCTGTTACGCAATCAAACTGCGATGCTATCAGTGTGCAGAAAGTTTTCCAGACCTCCTACCTCCTGCTACATGATGCAGGTGCTGGCCTCTTTCGTGAATGTAAATGAGGGCTCTTTTTTTTTGCCTCTAGTGCTTACTCATGTGCATCATGTAGGCTTACTTGGCTTTATGATAAACAGATGGATTACTATTCTTTATTTACACTGTAATATCTTCTGCTGGTTTGATGGCAAGCAGAAAGATACGGGCGAAAAAGGGTCACGGGAAAGTATCTACAGGGCAAAGAATGAGCAGCCTGAGAAACACAAGTCTGCAGCCCTTTATTCTGAAAGCATTCACTCAAGAATACGGCCTCAAGCCGTAGTACTTAATCCTCTGTGTCTTCCATATGATACTCATTTCCATGTGTCTAACTATTGAGGTCCCGCGACCCACATGAGATCACACAGCTCCTGAAGTATGCCACTTGTGATCATTTCAACAGTCTTAGTTGCGCTCTCATTTAACACGGCGTCCGCGCTCTGCCAAGGCATATTTGGTGTCGAGCTTGACTATGTCTGCTTCTGCACATCCCTCCAGGGCCCCTTTCATACGTCTGAGTGTTACAGCAGGTCATGGCTGTCTCTTGGGAAGGAAAGAAGATACCGTTGTGCCTGGGTGGCTTTAGGACCGAGGGTGGATGATGGAGATGGATGTGCTGGAACATGTGGGGATGTTTTCCCTCACTGACACCGACAGAAATCATACAATCATCAGCATTTCATATCTCTGTTCATCCATACTCATGTCTGCTCCTCCCATCTCAGAACAAGCCTAACTCTAATTCTAACTTCAACCAAAACTACTTACAAAAAGGCTGTTTAAAAAGAAAGAAAGAAAAGAGATATCTAACCAAAACTTTCAAGCTTTTACAAAATATCATGACTCTAAACGCTCGAAACCTCAACCTGTTTCTGAAAAAGATGGCTGGGAATGTTTTCATTTCACTCTATTCGCTGTGTGGTTTCCTGAGACACTTACGTTGCTCAGATGAGAGGTTTTTTTGAGAAAGCTGTGACCCATTCTGAACAGGCAGGTGTAACACTGTCTCCCATCATATAGTAATTATAACTGACTCAAATATGATAAATAAAACCTCTTTAATATGTCTTTTATGTGAAAGAAAAAGATTTAGGAATTTACACTTTAAGGCGTTTTTTATATATATTCATTCAGTTAAGTCATTACATTCATATTACAACTTGATTTAACAATCTGCATAGAATAATACATTTAATAGATGTTTTACACTTTTAATGCAACCAAAGTTAAATTCATTCATTCTTTAAAAAACTCAACTAAAGACAAAATCATTTAAAACATAAAATACACTTGGTCACTGGCCAGCCACATATAGTCTAAAATCAGTGCTTTGCAGCATCCTGACGTGCTAATGAAAAACAAAGAACATCGGACACGAGCTCCTGGTTTGTGTCACTGCAGCTGCTAAGTTGCAGAGATATTTTTGGTTTGTGAAGAAGAGGTGTAAAAAAATGCTGGAGTGTGACCTGCCTGTGGCTGCTGTAAGTGTCTGCATTAAAGGACTTTGTTTACTTCAACGTGTTGCTGAGCATTTCTGTATCGGCCCAGACCAGACAGGAGCAGCTGCCTTCATGCATCAGTTTCAGTAAAGCTGTGTTTCCCAAACTTTTTGGCTCGTGACCTTTTAAAAGGGTCGTTAATGGCTTTGCCTAAATCTTACTTGACATTCAAAGTGCCGAAAAATATATTTGATGGGAATACATCTGACTCTTTTCAGAGGTCATGACCCAGTTACTTAAAAAATAAATGAATAAAAATCTGCAGACGTGAACATCATCTATCTAATCATGATGCTTGTAAAAGCATGATGGCAAATAAGAAGTAAAGAGGCTTTAACCTTACTTAACTGCAGTCCTCACATGGCAGAGCACGGTAGATTAAAAATAAAACTTGAGTCATGATTTCAGAGAAGAGACGTTGCTGCTGAGGTATTTAAACGTATTTTAGGGGAAAGCTATTAGATTCCATTTTATTGAAGAGAAGCCAGGCAAAGTGAGAAACTCACAGCCAGAGAGATGAGTAGCATGAGTAGCACTGCAGGCCACAGGGGAAATATGTAATTTTGGTTTTTTGTTTTTTTTTCTGCACAGATTCAAGCTTGAAAACAGCTTCAATATGTTTTGTCTTTATTTCATTTTCTAAATTGTAACATCTCACTTTTGTTCCAAGACCTATTTAGGCTGGCAGCATAATTTCTGAGGTGATGTAAGGTAGTGTGACCTGAACACGTGGGAGGGCTACTTTCATTTCTGTATAACCTTAAAGTTGACCTAACATTTCCTCATTTTCTGTCAAATGAATAAGATCAGAAATGATTTAGAAATCTGTAAAAAAGAAGAAGAAGAAGAAGAAGAAGAAGAAGATTTTCTGTTGTTTTTTTTTATCAGGCAAATTGTTGCTTCTGTTCAGGAATGCAAGTAAATGACTGTAATTCTCAGATAACATTAATTGTATTTTTCATTTTATTTTCATTGCAAATATGAATTTGATTAAAGCGCCTGCACGTGCTGACAGATTTCAGAAGCATAAAAGTTCATTTGGTAATTTTCGAAGGCATGCTCTAATCACTGTATATATAAGTTATATCTGTTCTAGGCACATTACAATGGAGAGCAGTCATATTAAACATGAATTAAGTTCCCAATAATGAGGTCAGTGTATGCAAAGTAATCCCCGTGAGCCAAAAGCTCAGGCACAGACTGCTCCAAACACAGTTTCCGACAGTTTTTTCTAATGACCTCAATGAGAGGGGATAACCTTAACAAAATCGCCTCACCTCTTCTCAAGAGGGGCAGCCAATCACAATAAAGGTGGCTTCGAGGAGCTCGTTTCCAACAGTGGGTGGAGTGAACTCAGTAGAAGGTAAATAAGGCATATTTGAAATGTGAATTTCTACTGCACTCCTGCAGAGTCCAAGAATATAAACAGATTTATAAATGAGTTATTGTCCCGCTTAAACTTCTTTGTTCAATATGAATTTGCATCACCAAATCACCTTGGTTTCTGATATTAAAAATATACTCAGTTCACTGAGTATACTTCAGTCTAGCTCTTAGTCTTCATTAATTCTCTCAGTCAACAGCAGAGCTGCCCAGACCTCATCCAGCAGGAAGCTGCGTGATGATAAAGGTGTATGCCCCTGCAGGTCTGTATGCACAGGCTTCCTCATGCATGTCAGACCAAGGCACACATCAAAGTCATCAACGTTTTCATTTTCATTCACAGCTGCTAGTGGCTCATCTTTACTTTTGCCCCACTGCGCCATCAACGGAAATAACCCTTTATAACAATAATGCCTACACAAACACAGAGGAGGTGACGGAGCGTCCTCGGTGGCATGAGTGAGGCCTGCGGTCTTTAACACAGTGAGAAACGCCTGGAGTTGATATTCATCTTGGTGAGGCCCAGATGTTTTAGAGGGGTGGACAGAGCAAAGGCAGCCTTCATGGGGATATCACACAGCAGGTCCGACTCCTCTCCGCACTCCTCCAGCTCGTACGTTGCGTCGTCCAGCATCTCCTTGTGACGGTGGCACACTTGCTCCACTTTGAGCCGATGGATCTCCACCCGCAGACGGATCAGCTGACGGGCCAGTCGGTTGTCCTGAACTTGCATTTCCCTCTGAGGGTAGAGGAGGGGTGGAGGGAGCGCGTTTGAGAAGAAAGTGAGTTTCAGTGTTCAGTTTAGCAGAACATATGTGGAAGTTTGGATTTGGATGGTGCCTATCTCCTCATCAAAGGGTAAAAATCATGTGGACTAGATGGGTTGCAGCTTATGAGAAAACAGGCACCATATTGTTTCGCAATCTGTGTGTTTAGTCTTCTTTCCCTTAAGTTAAGACAAGCAGTCATGCAAGCAAGATCACTGACACCTAAAGAGATGCCTATCTGTTTTAAAGGTGAAGTAGGAGATAGATAGCTATCTGTATTTCTCAAGAATGGATAAGGACTCTGTATTATTTATTTATTTACTTATTCATTAATTAGTTTTAATGATTGGAGATTATCAAGAAGTGCAAATTATTTCTCAGGGCGTGACGCATCTTTAGATAAAAATCAAATCAAATTTCTGGGGGAACTCACCAGCTCTTTTCTAAGATGCTCCAGGGCATCGTCCATAGTGTCAAAGCCACAGATGCTGCCCACAACCAGTTCTGACCTCCTCAAAATTGCCGGCACGGAAACGACTTCCTGTCCTCCTGATTCGGGACCGTCCGCGGAATTTCTTTCCTTCCACGCTCGGCTCTGTACGCGCTCCTGCCACTCGAGGTAGGACGGTCTGCGGGTCTGTAACTTCAGCTTCTCCGTGAGCGCTTTCACGCTGTCCAGATCCTCCGTGTCGCCCTCGGAGGACGAGCCGTCTCCAAGCTCCTTAAAATCCATCGGTGCAGCAGATTGCTGATACACGCTGAGCATTCAGGGAGCAGGCTCGCTTTCTGCGCTGGCAGCTTGGCGATTAGAGCGCAACAGGTCCATGCCTCCTCTCCTTTATAGGGAGAAAAAGCGCAGTGACCGCCCATCCCGCACAGGACAGGGAGGCTGGAGAGTTTGCAAGCTTTTGTCAGGCGAGGGAAAAAGATATCCTGAAACCAAAGTCTGAGATTTTATTACTGTGCATTCACAAGTTAAATGACTTAAAACTATTTAAAATAGTTTTACATTTATATTACAGGAGAAACTGCCAAAAGAAGAAACGAATACAGATCTATGCATGTATTTCCTGGACATCAGGTTGATGTGCAGGAATCGCTTTTCTCTTTCTGCTTGCCTTGCTTTGCATTCTGGGGTAGTTTTGATCTAAAAGTGGGTCAATTAACTGCGTGCACTGAAGTACAGATTAAATTTCCATCTGCAGTATGAAAATGGAAATAATCAAGTAAAGTACAACAAACCTGCGCCTGGATGTATGAGAAAAATCTATACATACTTACATACTTACACACAGTCAGGTGAAAAACCAAGTTTTCTGTTCAGCTATGTAAAACAGTAAGTAGCCTACAGGCTTACTGTGCAATTTCCCAACAAATTCCCCTCAAGGTCAGACTGAGCAATGCTCAGAAAAACTGCAAAAACCCAGGAGCTCCATCTCAGACTCTACAGGCCCCAGTTAGCATGTTAAAGGTTAAAGTTCATGACAATAAAATTAGAAAAAGACAGAACACGTTGGCTTCTTTGGAAGGGTTGCCAGGAGAAAGCCTCCTCTCTAAAAATAACATGGCAGCACAGCTTAGGTTGGCAAAGTTGCAAATGAACAACCCATAAGACTTCTGGAACAACATCCATTTGTTTGTCCATAACGCACAGCACCATGTTTGGAGACACCCAAACATAACTTATCAGCCCAAACCCCTTATACCAACTGTGAGCATGGTGGTGGAAGTGTGCTGATTTGGGCACCTAGCAGTCACTGAGTCAACCGTGAGCTCCTCTGTATACCAATGCAGAATGAAATGTGGAGACATCTGTCCAACAGATAAAAATTGGCCAAAAAAAAAAAGCAAAAGAATTAATGTGCTGCAATGATCCAGTCAAAGTACAAAACTCAACCTGACTGAAAAGAGCTGAGCATGAATGAATTCCTGCAAACCTCAATGAGCTGAAGCAATGCTGTAAAGACGAGCGGGGCTAAAAACTCTTCCACAATGATGTGACACATCGATAAAGTCAAACAGAAAACTGCCAGAGGTACTTCTACAAGCTTCTGAATCATGGAGGTGGAACCCACCATGACTGCATATAAAACTTACTGGATGCATATCTAAACTAGTTATTTTAGGCCTATGTTGGTCACTTTTTTCTTTCATTTTAAAACTTGTTTGTGGTGTGTTTTCTTGCATCAGTGTTCCTGTTTTTATTATTGTGGTTTATGCTGCATGAATTATATTCCCTGGGGCAAAATGTGTGTTTAAATGGATGGATGGGATAGGACAAAGCATCATATTTTCCACTTGGTTCAATAGCCCACACGTGGGTGCGCTGATACTATGTACTCTATTACGTTACGTTTACTCTTTACAATAAGGCTAGATACTTATTTATATATTTTACAGGTGACTTTATTTAATGCAAAACAGCTCAAATTGCAAAATATAATGAAACTAGTCAAAGCTGAAAGTTGTAGGTTCAGTACCAGCTACACTTGTTCACACTGTAATGCATCGTAATACCAGCAAAGTGATACTGTGTCAATATTTTGTAGCTGACAGATTTCAACAGTTACACACAGCAAAAGCCAACTTGGCAGATGAGTTGTGATTGACGATTTTTTGTGCTTGAGTATGGCGCCATCTAGTGACAACCTAATATACTACAGGTACTTCACAGTGGCTCCCCCCCCCCCCCCCCCCCCTCTCTGCAGTGCGCACAAGTTGTGATAAGTGTCACTTCTCACTCACTGTCTCAGGAAACGTAGACTTCCGCCTTTTGTCGCCTAAAGCAGCACATTTTCCACTCCCACGGCAGTTAAGCTTAGCCAGCTGTGTGTGCAGAGGTGTAGCCACATAAGAGGACGACAATGTTCAGGAAAATATGAAGCTTCTTCTATTTATAGACTTCTTATCGCCAATCAAACAGAGCGCGGCTGCAACGCTGCCCAACCAGCTGTGCGTGCAGAGGAGGAAGCCCGCTTTCGTTTTCTTACAAGAGAGGCGAGGACGTGATTGAGGTGCTCGGCCACTTCTGTAGTTTAGAAAGAACAGAAACAAAGTTCTGCAGACGGACTTTGGGTGTTTGAAGGGGAGCTGATGGAGTTTGCTGAGCACATTAAGACGGCCAATGTGGAGGATGTTGTGCTCCGACAGCCGCTGCAACCCCCGAGCAGAGGAACCCTGTGCATCACCGGCCACCACCTGCTCTTCTCGGACAGGGAGGAGAGTGACTCCCGGCAGGTTTTATTGCTCCTTAGGAACATCGATGCCATTGAGAAAAGGTGAGGGAGGATTGAGGTCAGAAAGGTGATAAGGAACCAGATCAAAAACGTGTCTTATTAAGAAAAGTAACGAGTATCCTGCAAGAACAATGTCGCACTTTTCTCTATCTCGATTATTTTTTAATTGATTAAATTGATGATTAAATATTTGATGGTGGACTTGTGATTCTTAGAACTTATTTATTATGATTATAACTCGCATGATCAAACCAGTAATCACACTAATCAACACGAAACGGTGTGAACTTGCCGGTAATTCCTCTGATCTCTCATTCCTTCCTCAAATCTTTTTTAACCAGTGTGGAAAACCTTACGGGCTATTCCGGCTTCTTCTCTAATGCAAGCCACAGTGAAAGGTTGGACATCCTCTGTGTTGCCATGTCATGCTGTGTGTTGCTCTTGATGCAATTCTGAAGAAGTAACATTTCCCAACAAGATTAATGCAACGTTTTTTTCCGTTTGCCACCCTCCACATGCTCAGAGCTGTGTACTGCTTGCAACTAACAGCTTTTTTTCTTCGTAGCTCTCTGAAACCTTTTGTTAGGTATTGCCACCCCCCCCCCCCCACACACACACACACACACACACACACACAACCTACCTGACTCGTTTTGCCCACTTTTTCTGCTGCAAGTCGAGCCTCATGCACCGCCATAGGCAATAAATGGGGCTCTGCACCCCCTCTTCAGAGGGGGTGCATGTTTTCTTTTGTATAAGAATCATATATGTGTGTGTGTGTGTGTGTGTGTGTGTGTGTGTGTGTGTGTGTAGGATGTCTGGTTCATCTGGAACAATTACGATGAAGTGTAAAGATCTGCGTGTGCTCCAGCTTGACATCCCAGGCATGGAACAGTGTCTCAACATTGCACACTCTATCGAGGTACACAACTAATGCAACCTGAAACACACAGGCCAGACACAGGCACAAGAAAATAACTGTTGGTCTTAGAGTAGCCTGCTATTTTTCTGCATATGTTTTTCACTTCTTTGCATGTATCGGTAATCTCTCTTTAACTTTCTGCAGACACTGTCCTGTCTGGACTGCGTGTCCGCAATGTACCCTTTCTTTTACCGACCTGTTGATCTCAGCCTGCCGGAACAGTGGGGTCTCTCATCTCCTGAAATGCACTACAGTCAGATGAAGGAACTTGTAAGCAACATATAAAACTCTGTATGCTTGTTTTCTGCTGTAGATAATTTAATACTTGTAGATACAGACATTTTTCAGGTAACATTTTCCAATAATGTCCCTACAACCACATGACAGGAAAATGCCAGGGAAGTGTAGGGGTCGGGATTCAGGATATCCTTCTTGCTTAGCTTTCATTTGTTTTCCCCTTAACTTCAGAATGTGTTGCACACAGCTTGAATTCATGTATAACACACCAACGTCTTCCCGTGGGAATGGCATGTTGCTATGGTGAAGGGTCGCAGCTGAGGGCAGCATTTTTGCATGTGTTTTACAGACACAAAATTCCCAGAACATGTAGGATATCTGTGCTTTTAACCAGACCAGCCTGAGTAGTGTTTTTCACCCATGATAAAGTGGCTGGAATTTGCAAGTCCCAATTATTTCTCTCCCACCGACTCTTTCCATCACGACAGGAGCTGAGCTGTTCTGTGTAGTTATAAACTACGAGCTTCAACCATTCTTACAGAGTTTTTAAGAATACCTTTTACAATTTAGGGAACTTGATGATTAAGTTTCTTTGATAAAATTAAGAAAAGTGAGAAAGTTGTTATAGCGGTAAGGCAAACAGAGCTATAGTGATTTAGCTTAGCCTGATACATTATAGGAGAATTCTTCAACAGCAATGATGGTGAAAGAAGCGTGACACCTTACTTTGGCGCAGACCGGTGATTTGATGCACGGTTTCTATGGATTTATGTCATTGTGATGTTTCAAATAAGAGTGCAGGGATGTTTTAGGATAGTTGCTGAGTGGCTTCCAGAAGGACTTTAGTTTAGCTTAGTTTACAAAAACATTAGAAGTAGCTGTAAACAGCTGATCTGGCGCCCTGCAAGGATAAGAATCAGTGAGCTTCAGAAGCAACATTTCTGAAGCTCACTGATTACTATGCTGTATTTTTTTTATTTTACCTGTTTTTATAGGCAGGCTCCTCTGGTCACCAACCTCACAGTGCCAAAAAGACTTAAAAAGACTTAAAAAGAGACATGCCCCACGTTAGGTTTTGTGCACATTAAGGAAAGCAGATATTCAGTAGAGGTCTTTGAAAAGAAGCTTTCTTTACTTGGGAGAGAGCCGAGCTACTGTTTACAGTACTTATGCTTAAGTAACCAGCTGGTTAGAGTACATTTTTATTTGTTATATTGAGGAAATGGTACCTATTCATGAGGTTAACCGATTAGAATCAAGTTCCACAATTTGGGTTTTCAGGACTGCACCTAATCAGGTGTGGGTACTACTGAGAAAACATGTCCCTAAAAGAGGCCACACAGGAGTGATCCTGCAGTCTGGACATGAAGAAAGGTTCAGATCTCCCTAAAATCATCCCTGAGTTCATCAACTGGAAAACAGTCTGTCCAGCAGTAGTCATGGTCTTTTATTTTTCTTAATCTCTTACTAAGAAATCAAATAAGCCATAGTAGGGCAGTTGTTATTACTTAAAGATCCACTAAGGATTAGCTTGGAGCATAAGCACACGCTTTATGCAAAATAAAAATAACGGGACTTTCCTCACCTATGAACTGGACTACTCCCAGTCCAGCTCAGCTCAAAGAGTCCCCTGTGACTTTAGCAACCGGGAGGTTAGCATGAATAATAACAGGTTACTTGATACTAAAGCTCACATTTTCCTTTATCGCCTTCTCTCTCTCACTTTTTTTCAGTATGAGAAGTGGAGACTGAGCACCGTGAACAGAGATTACTCGGTTTGTCCCTCCTACCCTCCGGCAGTCATCGTCCCAAAAAGCATAGACGACGACACGCTGAAAAAAGCAGCCAAATTCAGACAGGGAGGACGTTTCCCTGTTCTCTGCTACTACCACAAGAAGAACGGCATGGTGAGGTGATTTAGTGTTCACTTTTAGTGTCACGGTTTGTGGCAGAATGGCTAAAAGCAATATAAAATGTCCAAAAAGTCCAAACATGAACAGAAAACATCCGAGGAAACAAACAATCCAACGACTAACACAGGGGAGACAGGGGGACAATATATAGTCGAAGGAAGTGGGAACGGCTGAGGACAAGACACGGGTGAAGAGAATCAAGACACAGGATAAAATATAGCTGACTACCAAAATAAAAGAACTGATTTGCTGAACATGGTGAGCTTGACACAGGAGGATAGACCAGTACTCAGAGGAAAGAGAGTGAAACTAACACTCATAAAACCAGTGAACAGAAGAAAACTGTCAGAAAACTGCAACACTTGAAACCAGGAAGCCATAGAGAAACTCATTCGATAATGATACAAAATACAAGAGAGCCAAAATCAAAGCAATCACACGAAAATAAAAGAATTTAAAGTCCCAAATTAAAAAAACTGTTATGGTTAAGGCTACACATTTGACTGAACATTGTTAACAGGATGAAAAATGTTGTAGGTCATCATGCGCAGCAGTCAGCCGCTGCTAGGAGCCAATAGGAAGCGCTGCAAGGAAGATGAGCTGCTCCTCCAGGCTGTGATTGAGGGTTCGGACAAAGGCTACATAATTGACACTCGCTCCATGCAGCAGGCTCAACAGGCCAGGATGACAGGTGGAGGGTTTGAGTCTAAATCGTTCTACGACCGCTGGAAGAGATTTCACAGACAGATGGAAAGGTGTGTTTGCTGACTGTCTGCTAATACTGATTTGTCAAACTTGCTTTGCTACACACTGCCTCATATGTGTGCAGGGGTAAAGCTCTCCAGGAGAGCCTAATTAAACTGGTGGAGGCTTGTGGTGACGAGTCCAACAACATGGACCGCTGGCTCAGTAAGCTGGAGAATTCAAAGTGGCTGTCGCACGTCCAAAATGCTCTTTCTACTGCCGGCCTGCTGGTGGAGTGTGTGGAGAGGTATGAATAACACCCACACTCTTATGACTTGGAAAACTTTATGGTAATATCTTGTGACTAATTCAATTTTATCTGGAAAGTACCAATTTACAGCAACTCCCATCTCAATGTGCTTTTTATTGTAAAGACTCTATAATATTAGAGAGAAAACCCACCGAGGATCAGCACTTTGTGACAGTGGGGAGGAAGAAATTACTTTTAACAGGAACAGAGCTCGGGCATAATCAGGATTAGGGACAGGCAGCTATCTGCCTTGACTGCTCTAACTCTAAGCTTAGTCTTTAAACTTTCCTTTTTGCTAAAGCATATAGTTAGGGCTGGATCAGGTGACCCTGAATTCTCCCTTAGTTATGCTGCAATAGGTGTAAGCTGCTGGGGGATTCCCATGATGCACTGGGCTTTTCTTCTTCACTCACTGTGTTAATAGACCTCTCTGCACTGAATAATACTTGTTATTAGTCTCTTTCTCTCTTCCACATTATGTCTTTATCCTGTTTTTCTTCTCTCTCCTCAACCAATCACAGCAGATGGCCCCGCCCCTCCCTCAGCCTGGTTCTGTTGGAGGTTTCTTCCTGTTAAAAGGGAGTTTTTCCTTCCCACTGTCGCCAAAGTGCTTGCTCATAGGGGGTCATGTGATTGTTTGGCTTTTCTCTGTATGTATTATTGTAGGGTCTACCTTACAGTACAAAGCGCCTTGAGGTGACTGTTGTTTTGATTTGGCGCTCTATAAGTAAAATTGAATTGAATTGAATGTAGACACAAGGAAGTGAGGGCAAGTCAACAACCACTTGTTTTAAATCTTGAAGAAACAGAAAGAAGGCCATAACTGTCTTCCTTACACACAGGTTTGTTTTTCTTGTACATGTTAATGAGTGTTGTTTCTTCCAGGGATGGCCATTCTGTTCTTGTTCACGGCTCTGAAGGGACAGATTGCTCTTTGCTCATCAGCACTCTGGCTCAGCTCATCATGGATCCATGCTGCCGCACAGTGGAGGGCTTCTTGGGACTGCTGGAGAGAGAGTGGATACAGGCGCGTGCCAGGTTTTAAGTTGGGGAGGATTACGAAGAATTTTAAATGTCTTTTTTTCTTGATTTGCTCCCATAAATGTTGTCGAGAATCCAAAGAAATGCATTGTAACATCGGGGATCTCTGTCTACTTCTGACACGAGTGTCCAAACAAGCCGTGAGCTTTTAAAAATAGAAGCACACCCAGCGACTACAGGACTGAGCCTATCTGTTGCCACAAAATTAGATCCTAAAAGCTGACATGTGTTTGTGTGTTTGCAGGCAGGACACCCGTTCCAGCAGCGATGCGCTCACTCAGCTTACTCCCATGCTCGTCTCCAGCAGGAGTCTCCGGTGTTCCTGCTGCTGCTGGACTGCGTGTGGCAGCTTTGGCGGCAGTTTCCCTTGGCTCTGGGCTTCTCTGAGGCGCTGCTCTTGCGACTGGCGACTGAGGTTTATGCCTCGGATTATGGCACCTTTCTGTGTAACAGTGATCAGGAAAGGTCAGTTTTTTCTACATATTTAAAGATTGCTGCCGAGTGTCTTCATTTCAAACTAAGATTCACACTTTGTTTGCCCTTCAATCAGGTGTGCCTTGGAAGTAAAGGAAAGGACTCACTGCTTGTTCCGGGCTCTGCTAAGGCCCACGGAGAGGGATTACTACTCTAACCCCCTGTATGAACGCACTGAGCTAGCAATCTGGCCCTCAGTTCATCCTCAGTCCCTGCAGCTCTGGAAAGGTGAGCTTTGCCCTGCACTTGTTTTCAGACCTCATCTTTTTTAGCCTTTAATGTAATTGCAGTGTTGCTGTTCTGAGCTTATGTTGTTACCACTTTAGTTTAGTTTAAGTGTTGGTGCTCACTCTGCCCCGCTGTCTGACCCTCAGGCTATTTTTTGAGGTGGACCCAGCAGGTTCGTCACCTTGAAGAGGCTCAGGAGGAAATCAGGAACATGGTCATTGAGTGGGGGAAGTTAGCACGCAGCTGATGCCTCGTTCGTGTGAATGAGGTGGGATCACATGGTTCCAAGGAGTTAAAACAAAATACCTGATTTTGATTTGACCTGTCGCCTTCAAGGTTGCCCGCTGGGCACTTCTGGACTGTTTTCGCCCTGGCTGAAACTTGTAGATCACTCTGAACCTGGGAGTCCCAGTCTTATTGCACACCATGGATTTAAAAACGTCTATGCCAATATGATCCAGCTTTTATTAAAGATACTTACCTGTGAAGAGGACAGTGTACCAGACCAAACAGCAGACTCCACAGTGTTCCAGTCAGGTGAGGAGTGTGAGTGCGTTGAAAAGGCAAGACGATCTTCATGTTCCTCCCTTAGAATGATATTCAAGTTGTAGGCTCACGATTTTAGATGTGTTCCAACACGCATCACATTCAGAAATGTGCAGGGGGCAGAAGAATTCGATGAGGATTAGACTGACTTGGACAAAACCGTTAGATTTTGGATACATGTCTAAATTCACCTGTTTCACAAAGCTGTGGATACCCATTGTTAGATATGTTAAGCAGGAAAATGGCACACTGAATTGTAACTAAAATGTTTTTCAAAGAAGGAAAAATCACCAACAGTGAAGCTGTCCAACCACTCAGCTCTGTTTACCGCAGTGGAAAATCTTAGTCTTTTTGAAGACGTGTGAAGACTTGCCTTCAAAACGGCAGTAAAGACGTAACAGTATAGAGTATATGAAGTGTCCCTCCTACCTCAGTCAGACTCAGACCAGTTTAGCAGAACAAACAGAAATGGCTGGCGTCCTCGATGCTTTATATTTAGACAGGATCTTAAAACCGCAGCGGTCCGGAGGTGACACAAACTTGAGAGAAAGATCAGCTAAATTTAAATTAGGTGCTTTTTATTGACAGAGTTGCAGAACTTTGTGATCCTACCTTGTGTGAATTAGAGAAGATGAACCTGATGAATGTTAACAATATGCAATGCCTAATGTGTTTTAATGTACAGTATTTTTTACACTTGCATAAAAGTTTTCTTACAAAAAATGTGGTGCTTGTGTTATTTTAATACACTAGGCTTGTGTTTCGGTCTAGCATTTTCATATATATTTATCCCATATTGTGTTAAATAATGATTGATGTTACTCTGATTTCTCTTTTCTAACCTGTATGCTAAGATAGCCTGACTGCCTTATGACTATAGATTTACATTTACTAGACTGAAGCAGGAGTACCTTTACAGCTCCCCATGCATCACTATGAACAGGCATATTTCACCAACATGTCTAAGTGATTCCTTCAGAACTCTGGAGCTGTTAAATACAGAGGACAAAACTTGCCAAAGCTTTGTTATTTTTCCAGTGTTTAGCATAATTGCAAAGGAATAATGATTTCATGATATGTATTCACTCATAAATATTATGAATAGAAGTCAGCTGTATAACAGACACACCTCCCAGTCCTGTTAAGCTCAGCTAAACACTCTTCACAATGCAAATCCCTGTGCACAGCAAGTCAGCATGTTTGCACACACGTTGCTTTGCACGCTGGAGACTGTAGTGCTGCTCAGTCAGGAGCCACAAGCCCTGGTGATTACACAAAGTGGAGAAGAACCACATAGCCCAGCATGACTTAACGCACCTGCTTATTTATCCAGCTTGACTGGGTGAACTGAAACGGTGACCAATGGGCTGGTAATCTTTTTGATTCTCACCCCTAAATGCTGTCTTATCAGCTCTTATTTTATAGATTAGTTTAGTGGACTAGTTGTGAATTCACTGTTACATCTGCTGCTTGTGGAACAAGAATCATCTGCCTGGGATTCTTTTTCTGAATCATAAGGACACAGGTAATACATTTCCCCCTTTTTTAAAACATTTCGAAACATCTTGTTTGTGTCCAGGTGTCATTCGAGAGATTTTAAAGGGTTTGGTGTAATATATTTGCTCTGCTTAAGTTTGGTGTAACTTTGTCAAGGACTGCTCCTGGACATGAAACCGGGTGTGCGGGTCTGTGTGCCCTCTGCGGCGGTGCTGGGCCTGTTTTGCCGAGGCTGTCTCAGCAGGTCGCGGAGCTGGCCCGGCCGCAGCTTCAGTTCCACCTCCAGGGAGATGAGCAGGTGGAACAGCCAGGACGCCAGCCCCCCATCTCCTCAGGAAAACGTGCGCGTGCTCATCACAGGTGATGCAAATTTCCATCCATCATTAACGCACAATAGTTGCTTGTGTGTGACGTCGATGTATTCAGGAAAGGACTTTTCCACAGTTGCCCAAACACTGAGCCTGGGAAGCTGCCGTTGTTTTCTACCACTTTCACTGCGCTGCCTCTGTTCTGAATTGTTGTGAGAGAGAATGAGTCGGATCGTTTCCGAGCAGAGCCCCAGTTTCAGATCAAATCAAGTGTAGAAATATGATAATGAAGAATTCGTTTTACTGGAGTATCAGTGTGAAATGCTACAAACATGTGCTGCAGGGTTTTTTGAGTTGTGTTCACTTTGCTCCAACAGCGGGAGCCCATTTTGATTCATCACAATAGAGTGTGTACAGACAGTGCTAGTGAAATAAAAGGGCCAATGGGTGACTGTGGGGAGAATAATAGCCTGCTGTCACTTTTTGTCCTAGGATCAACAAACAAAAAGCTTTATTCATCTGAAAGTGAAAACCAACAACATGGATTTGACTTTTATCGATTTACCAGTCCTCCACAAATACAGATTATCTGTGTGCACAGGTAGAAAGCTAACGCCTGCCTTTGTCTGCAGGTGGGCTTGGGCAGTTAGGTGTGGGACTTGCACAGATGCTGAGGTGAGATTGTAGAAATTCCTGAGATCTTGAAACTTGCTAAAAGGTTTGAAGTTTAAATATCATCATACTTTTGTTAATGTCTAGAAAACAGTATGGAAGGGACAATGTAATCCTGTCAGACATCAAGAAGCCTCCACCTCACGTTTACGCCAATGGTATGTAAAATCTAATTCAAGTATGCATATTACTTTAAAAGTTACCGATTACTTTACTTTTTTTCTGGCATCACTGTTGTTTTTTAGGCCCGTTTGTATACGCTGATGTTTTGGACTACAAACACCTCCGAGAACTTATTGTAAACAATCGCGTCACTTGGCTGGTCCACTACAGCGCTCTGCTTAGTGCTGTGGGTGAGGCTAATGTGGCTTTGGCACGAAAGATCAACATCACAGGTCTGCTTGAACATGCACATCCTTTACACATAACCAGGTTTTAAGGAACAATCAGGGTTGAACTCGTGCTCTCTTCTTTTCTGCCCATCCAGGCCTACATAATGTGCTGGACTTGGCCTTAGAGAACTGTTTGCGCCTCTTTGTCCCCAGCACTATTGGGGCATTTGGTCCCTCTTCTCCACGTGACCCGGCCCCTGACCTCTGTGTTCAAAGACCTCGAACCATCTACGGCGTGTCTAAAGTGCATGGTGAACTGATGGGGGAGGTAAAATGTTTTTTGTACACGTGCTTACAGAGACGCCTGTGACTCCATTTCATTTTCAATCAGCTTCTCTTTCTTTAGTATCTCCATCATAAATACGGCTTGGACTTCCGCTGCCTGCGTTACCCTGGAGTGATATCAGTTAACACACCTCCTGGTGGTGGAACTACAGGTATTACCTGTGTGTGTTGTGCAAATGTACTCCAATCCATTGGATGTCATGGACTAAGTGCTCCGGACCTCTGTCTTCGCAGACTACGCTGTTCAGATCTTCCATGATGCTCTCAGCACAGGTCACCATGAGTGCTACCTGCGACCCGACACCCGTCTTCCCATGATGCATATCTCTGACTGCCACCGTGCCACGGTAGAGTTCATGCAGGCTCCGGAGTGCCAGCTGTCACTGCGCACCTACAACATAGCTGCCATGAGCTTCACCCCTGAAGAGGTGGCCCAAGAAATCCGCAAGCATCTCCCTCACCTCAAGGTCACCTACAATCCTGACACTGTCCGCCAGACCATTGGTATGGTATCTTTTTGTTTTTAAACCACTGGTTGGACTGATAATAAACCAATATAAAACTAAATTGTCCTTGCTGGTTTTTGCAGCAGACAGCTGGCCTGTAAGATTTGATGACACCAATGCCAGGAGAGACTGGGGCTGGGCGCCAGCCTTCGGGCTTGAGGAGTTGGTGTCGGACATGCTCCGCTCCATCCGAGACAAGAGGACCAGCGAGGGTTTGCCAGTCAGCTAGCAAAACCTGCTGCACCAAGACTAACCAATGCCCTACCTACCACTGACTTTTCTTCAGTCTACATTTACCAACAGCACACTTTGTTTTACTTCACTTTTACAAATTGTCAACCAGTATCATCTGTTTGTCTGGAGCATTGCTGCACCGTGCCAGGGACTGATTGTAAAATGGAAATTCTCAGTCATAACCTCTTTATATTCAGTGGAAAGTGAGATGTCAAACACGTGTGCACACACACACACACACACATGCACACACACAGACACACACACACTTCAGTCTTTTCAGGGAATCAGATGCTGTCAAACCTTCTCTTCATCTTTGTGGTTTTTATTGTTCTCATGGTATAAGCATCCCTTTACACATGGGCATGTTGCCTCAGGTGGAACAGAAACGTTTCTTAAGCTTTAAAGAGTTTCAGATGTTGATCACATGCATGAGCACACGAGCGTGTTTCAGCGTCTGTTACAATATCTAACACAATATGGACAAGTTCCACGTGTAGAACAACAAATCTGTTGGACATTTTGAATCCAGGATCATCTGGAATGACTGACTCAGTTGACTTTGGACTGTAATGAAAAATCATGTATCCTGGCTGTTTTGTAAAGCACTCTTTTATAATATAGGCTATCAAACGAAACTCACAGTACATACAACCGCACTACCTTTGCCGTGGCACAGAACAGGAAGCCTTTACTTTTTTGCCAGCGGTGTGATTACAAATATGAATGAGTAACAGTATCAAATGAGGCCGTATTTACTTAGGAAAACAATATATTAAAAATGCTGTGTACTTTGAATCAGACCTTTAATAATAAAAATGTTATTTACCCAAAGAGCATTGAATACCGTACGCTGCCAAAGTTTCTTTTTTCTGTGTCGTTTTTGCATCCAAAACACCCGATCAGCTTAAAAACAAGAACGCTATAAAATGAAAAAATTAACTTCTATTTAAGAAATAGTTAAAGTTGTCTCATATGCTTTCATTCTCTAATTTGTTTGAGTAACATATACAAAATTAAGGTAATCACCAGCCACTTTGTTAGGTACACCTGTTCTAAATATCTAACTAGCCAGTCACACCGATTAAGGCATGTAGAAACAGTCCAGATAGTCTGCTGGAGTTCAAACCAAGCATCTGACTGGGGAAGAAACATGATTTAAGACACTTTAAATTGTTATTTTCAGACTGGCTAGATTTTCCAACACAGACATTTCTAGGATTTACAGAAGTCTAAAAAAGAGAAAACATCAAGAGAGTGGCCGCTCAGGTGAAAATCTAGCGAACAGGAAGGCAACAGTATATTAAACAAAACAAAACAAAACAAAACAAAAGAAGTTATAACCAAGGTCTGCAGACAAGCATCTCTGAATACACAACACATCAACGCTTGTAGCAGATGGGTAACAACAGCAGAAGACTACACTGAGTCCTACTGGGTGAGTTAAAAACAGGAAACTGAGGCTACAAGTCACACAAGCTCAGCAAATTTGGACAAAATAAGACTGGAAAAGCATTGCGTGGTTGACAAGTCTGGGGGATTACTGCATGTAAACACAACTGGTTCTCTTACAGAAAAAGCAATTAGTCTCAGTTTCAGAAATCTAATTTAATGATCGTCATTATGATGCATGCAAATGTTTAGTATTCTGTAGGAAATGGACCACCAGTTGACAAAAGCAAACTAAAAAAATGTTACTGAAGTTGCTTTGAAGGACAAAAAACTGATAAAAATGTTCAATTATTTCCCCAATTACCACAAGAGTGATGATATAAATGACAGATTACCTCTTATTTTTTATTCCAACATAACACTTGTTTTGCTGCATATATTAATGCAGAATTTTCATGGGAAGCTCTTTAATTTGATCATTTTTTGTTTTTCTCATTTGTTTATCTGAGCATTTATTCTTACTGGTGAATGGCGGTTGGTGAGGTTCAGGTTTTGACAAGCCCCTAAATGGACAATGAATAAAAACAAAATACCTTTTTAAATCCACAACATTTGAGAAAAACCAGTTTAAACCAAGGTTTGGGTTGTAATAATATCTGTGCAAGCTGTCTCTGCATATTGAGGCACATTCTAGTCTGCCATATTTCGTGCATCAGGTGATGAGCGGAATCTTCTTCCTCCTCCTCACTGTAACTGCAGTACCTGTTGCTTCCTGTGGGGGCACTCCATTCATCCGGCTCGTCACCCTGAATTTCACCGGCGGACCAGCACACAGCTTTCTCCACAGCACAAGTTACGATCCATTTCACCTAAAATGGACGCGGGATTCTTCCGCGTAAGTTCTTCAAACTTTTATCTTTGTATTTGGTATATTATTATTTAGCTGCATGTAGATCTATATACGTTTTATGGGATGGATGTTTCCTATGTGTCTTCAGTGAAGAGCCATGCAGCTAGCTAAACAGCGGTCAGGGCTTCGACTATCAACTGGGAGCCAACAGTCTCAGGATTTGCATTTAGTCTGCTTCACTTGGTGTATTCTGGGAGTTGTTGCGTGTTCCCTATATTGATGTTTTCTGTCTTATAATTTATGAAAGTGTGTAACTTCTTACGTTAAAACCCCGTACGTGTTATTTTACAGACAAATTTACAGGAAATAGACGAGTCAAGTTAGCTAGCTAACTAAAGATGGCGCCCGGGCGGTGCATCGCTCCTGTCTCCATGAGCTAGTCACGACTGCTGCTGTGCTGGCCTTAGCAAGCCCTCCGTGTTTGCTGAATAATGACATTAATGTGTCTTTTAATATTCTGTCAATGTCAACTCCGCTGTCAGTCAAAGTAGCCTTCGGACTGTGCCTATTATTAGCCTGTGCGTTCGCTTTCGAGGATTAAGCAAGTGGTTAGCATGGCTAATGCTAACCGACTGGTGTCAGTGTCGCCTGCGGCTCAGTTGGATGAGCTAAAAAGAACATGAAGTGGCGCTCTAGGGAACACACGTGTCTTAAGTATTTATTTTAAGACACGTTAGCTTGAGCAACGTAATGTTTTTCCATCTTAAACTTTGACTCTCGTTAATAATGTTATCGGTAAGTAAGACTGCTGTAACTAACATGGGCCCAATAGTGAGGAGGCTGTGCAGCTTGAGACTAAAAACACTGTTCGAGACGGGTTTCTGTTCTTCTCTGATTTGACATCTCCGATGAAAGCTGATCATCACGAGTCCGCTGATGTTGGCTGTTATTTCTGCAGGGTACGAGTGCGGAGCAGGACAACCGCTTCAGCAACAAGCAGAAGAAACTGCTGAAGCAGCTGAAATTTGCAGAATGTTTGGACAAAAAGGTAACATTTGTTTTTACATTTTATTTTCCTCAAATAACTGTTAAAAAAATCATGTTAAATAGTTATCTGCAAACTTGAGGCAGTTTATGGCAATCTGTGTAGCCTGGACATTCATACACCACAGGTATGAGGGTGTCTGTGAGAGACATTTTAATGGCCACCACCTCACCAGGCCTGTGATTAATGAGCTTAAGTCAGGTTTTTTTTTTTTTTTTTTTTAATCCGGTAGCCAAAAATAAAAGGTAAATGTTCATTTTTCTGTTAATTAGTCATTACTTTAACTTTATTTATATATAACTTGTTTATATTTTTAGTCTCCACCCAAATGCCGTTTTTGATCCTTTGCAGGGGACTGCCTGGTCAGTAACAGGTGGACAACTAATTAATATACAGTGGGGAAAAAAAGTATTTAGTCAGCCACCGATTGTGCAAGTTCCCCCACTTAAAATGATGACAGAGGTCAGTAATTTGCACCAGAGGTACACTTCAACTGTGAGAGACAGAATGTGAAAAAAAAATCCATGAATCCACATGGTAGGATTTGTAAAGAATTTATTCGTAAATCAGGGTGGAAAATAAGTATTTGGTCACCTCAAACAAGGAAAATCTCTGGCTCTCACAGACCTGTAACGTCTTCTGTAAGAAGCTTTTCTGTCCCCCACTCGTTACCTGTATGAATGGCACCTGTTTGAACTCATCATCTGTATAAAAGACACCTGTCCACAGCCTCAAACAGTCAGACTCCAAACTCCGCCATGGCCAAGACCAAAGAGCTTTCGAAGGACACCAGGAAAAGTATTGTAGACCTGCACCAGACTGGGAAGAGTGAATCTACAATAGGCAAGCAGCTTGGTGTGAAAAAATCAACTGTGGGAGCAATCATCAGAAAATGGAAGACATACAAGACCACTGATAATCTCCCTCGATCTGGGGCTCCACGCAAGATCTCATCCCGTGGGGTCAAAATGATCATGAGAACGGTGAGCAAAGATCCCAGAACCACACGGGGGGACCTGGTGAATGACCTGCAGAGAGCTGGGACCAAAGTAACAAAGGTCACCATCAGTAACACACTACAACGGCAGGGAATCAAATCCCGCAGTGCCAGACGTGTTCCGCTGCTGAAGCCAGTGCATGTCCAGGCCCGTCTGAAGTTTGCCAGAGAGCACATGGATGATACAGCAGAGGATTGGGAGAATGTCATGTGGTCAGATGAAACCAAAGTAGAACTTTTTGGTATAAACTCAACTCGTCGTGTTTGGAGGAAGAAGAATACTGAGTTGCATCCCAAGAACACCATACCTACTGTGAAGCATGGGGGTGGAAACATCATGCTATGGGGCTGTTTTTCTGCCAAGGGGACAGGACGACTGATCCGTGTTAAGGACAGAATGAATGGGGCCATGTATCGTGAGATTTTGAGCCAAAACCTCCTTCCATCAGTGAGAACTTTGAAGATGAAACGAGGCTGGGTCTTCCAACATGACAATGATCCAAAACACACCGCCCGGGCAACAAAGGAGTGGCTCCGTAAGAAGCATTTGAAAGTCCTGGAGTGGCCTAGCCAGTCTCCAGACCTCAACCCCATAGAAAATCTGTGGCGGGAGTTGAAAGTCCGTGTTGCTCGGCGACAGCCCCAAAACATCACTGCTCTCGAGAAGATCTGCATGGAGGAATGGGCCAAAATACCAGCTACTGTGTGTGCAAACCTGGTAAAGACCTATAGTAAACGTTTGACCTCTGTTATTGCCAACAAAGGTTATGTTACAAAGTATTGAGTTGTATTTTTGTTATTGACCAAATACTTATTTTCCACCCTGATTTACGAATAAATTCTTTACAAATCCTACCATGTGGATTCATGGATTTTTTTTTTTCACATTCTGTCTCTCACAGTTGAAGTGTACCTCTGGTGCAAATTACTGACCTCTGTCATCATTTTAGGTGGGGGAACTTGCACAATCGGTGGCTGACTAAATACTTTTTTGCCCCACTGTAGTTGAGTAACATTTAAGGAAAGCCACAAAAGTTTTTGATTTAAAGTCCTTCTTTTTTTTGTCACTGTAACTTCTTAAAAAGACACAAAGAAGTGACAGTGCGGTTGAGGGTAGGACGCCATCTAGAGCGCACCACATTTGAATAAAAGTGATTATTGCAACACGTTATCACTTATAAGGAAAACTTGACACATGACGTTTTAAAAGCAGATCTTAAAAGAGCCAAATGTGTGATCAGTTGCTACATTAACGTTAAGCATTGTTTGTATTTTTATTTGTATATCACATATCACAGTCATGTGACTTGCCCAGTGGCTTCTAAAGAAAATGAGCTTTTTTTGATAAATTCTGGCATGTGTAAGTTTTGTATTATTTTGGATTGATGACCACTAAGTTGTTCCATGGTCCACACATGGTTACACATTGGTCTTAACAAGCAAAAGATCCCAGGTTCTTCAACATAACGACTGACCCATGACGTCCATTAATATAAAGCGTCAGTCAGATAAAAACAATTTTAAGGTGCGACGAGATAAAAATTAAACTGGATCCCAAAAGGGAACTTTTTTTGTACAACAG